TTCTTCTTCTTGTGTCGATTCCGGCCATCTTTGGACCACGTACAAACAACTAATTATGACTTGCTTTTCCCTCTTCCCTTCCCTTTGTTCTTCTTCCTTTCTTTCCAATACCTCTTCATTCTCTCGCTCTGCTGTTGTCTTTGCTCCTGAGTGAAGAGTCTTCCACGTCTGTTATTTTCCTTTTCCTGAAAACCCTTGAAGTTCTTTATTTTGTTTCTAAACCTTTCCCTGTTTTGGATATCTTCAGATATGCCCATTTCTGCCATGTCTTTTTGACTGTCATTGATCCATTGATTCTTATTCTTTTGGTTGTTGAAATACGTAAAAATTTATTTTGTTAACCTATTTTCCCCCATTCTCTTCATATGTCCAAAGAAGCTTACTCGCCTTCTCCGAATTGTAACCGAGAGTCTTGGAAGTTTTTGATAAAGCTCTTTATTGCTCCTTAGCACATAGTTACCATGTTCATCTATTTTTGGCTCCAGAATTTTTCGAAGGATCTTCCTCTCTTTTTTCTCCATATTTTCTATTTTCCCCATTTAAGACTAGCAATACCTTCGGTAATAGTTGAAATTTACTTCATGGGCCCGTTTTTTCTAATTTTGCTCTCTTTAGACACCTCTCTAATAGACGTGTCCTAAACAATTAGAATTATTTGGGGGAGACGCGTATATTAAGAGCTATAAGCGAAAACGCATCGGATTACTTACCGACTGTGCACGGTGGAGGCCGCCATTGCTTAACCTTGTTCACATCGCGGAGTAGCACGTTGGACGGCGGACGCTTACAATTCGTGTCACGTGACCTCGGTTAACGTCATCCAGTCACGTGAGCGGTGACGACGGAGCCAGGTGGTCACGTGACTACAGCTCTGACGCGNTCCAAAATTTCCCCAAAAATTATTCTGCACAAAATAAAACTAATTTATGAACTAGTTAATAATTGTTATTACATAGTTAGGAAAATTCAAATTAAATCGTACATATAAGCAAGTAGGTCTACCATACAATTTGCCATGCAATTGTATGGCAATTTTACCATACAGTACCATACCATTTTATCAGTACCATGTAAACTGATAAGTTAACATAAATATTTAGATTTTAAAAAATGCTTTAATTTAAGCACATTTTTTCAGCATTGTAGGATGATAGCATGTACAATTATAAACTTGATGCAATATGTTAATAGAAAGTTGAATTCAGTGCCATAAATGATTATTTTTGTTTTTAATTTTATTTTTTAAATATTTTAACTATGAATTTCTCACAATTACCATTTACACACACAGTTTGAGGACAGATGTTAAATGAAATGATAATAAAGTACAAAAAAGATAAATAATTCTAATTTAAATGGTAATATTTAACTTTTTTCATTGTATTTAGATTGGGGCTCGTATCATCTGAATGAGATAATACGAGCCCCCAAGCGGATTTTTGTTTTTAATTTTATAATTTTTGTGTTATGGGGCAGAATTAAGTAAACCCATAGATTACATAAAAAATAATAATAATAGTATATAACTCGATATAAAAACAAGTTTTTGATGTAACATTAACCGCAATTCTAATAGGAAAAACATGTTTGTTAAAACATCCAGAAAACCATTTTTTTACTACTATATTTCGTTTTGCTTCGTAGAAAAACAGAATCTAAATTACTTAGTAATGATAAGCTCGTCTATGTCTTGTTTATTATTATTTAATACTGTATTTCCAAGTTTATTACACGTGGGAAAAAAATGGAGAAAGAGGGCACGTGCTTCGGAAAGTCAACAACTGCAATCTTCATAAAACGAAATTTACGAGTGTCGGGAGAAACTTACCCTTTATTATTATTATTTTAAATTGTGTAACTATTGATTTATTACATTTAAAATTTTTCAGATTAGAGTATGGCTTCCACTTAAAAATCTATTACTACTCTGTTACTAACAGCGGCAATCGGCGTTGAATAAAACGAATTTAAAAAAAGAAAAACTTGTAGCGCGACCCCGCACGAAGTGAACCCGATAGAATTCTTTATATTTAGAGAATTATACTCGGAAAAGACCTTTTTTGTATATACAGGAACAAGATAGAACCGCCAAGTTTTGCCTTTCGTAATCGCGTGTCCTTGATATCTTCTTATCTCTCGGACGTTTTAACATGCGAGATGCCTTGACGTTGCGAAAATGCAGGATAACTGCTGTCTAGTAGACTAGTACCAGATTTTTTTTTTTTTTTCTGTCNTTTATAATTTGTACTGGAAAAAATACTCCTCTCAATAAAAAATACAAATGCCTTACAATTTTTGTAGATACCTTCATATCCACCAAATTTTTACAAATACAGCCGAAGAGGGACAGACAACCTGTCCAAAATGCACACCTTGTGTCTCAGACTTTGTGTAAATACTCCATGTCAACAATGTGTGATAAGTTCTCCATAGAGTCCCAATAGTCTTATAAGGACCAAAAACAATTTATGTACAACACTTGTATTTACTTTTATTTTTTCATATTATTTGTCATAATTATATCATTAAATTTATTTTCATTTTATGTTTTGTCATGTTATACGAGTTTATTAAATTAAAATAGTTTATTCTATTGTTAATCATTTTATTTTTTAATTTTAATTATTCAGCAATTATGAAAATTATGTAACTTAATTAGAAAAAATAACTAAAAAGTCGAAGAAGCAATAGCATATTTGCATAGTAAGTCTTGTGCTGTTTTGTTTTGTCAGTGTGATGTACTGTAGGGGGGAGGTAAGGATCAGAGAATTTGTACAAAGTTGGTCAGGGAAAGTCATGGAGTTTAAAACAAAAATTTGAATAGGAACCCTGAATTTACTGAAATTTACTATAGTAATTTATGTGAATTGAGTTAAAGTTTACTACAAAAATAGTCATTGATTTTTATTTTTTTCTATTTCAGAATATATGCTGTGAGGAAGAAGTGGGTTTTCTTTCATATTCATTATAAATTTTCTGTGATTATATTTTCATAAAATTTTAAGAATGTTTCTTCTAAGTGTGACAAAATTTTTTAAAAAATTCAAAAAATTGTGTTTGATTTTAATACTTTGTGATTATCACATCAAATATCATAATAATGGAATGATACGATAAATATGTATTAATTACTGTGAAATTCAAGGAATTGCAGTGATCAGAACATGTAGATGAATTATCAAGCAGCTTGGGTAAGATTTACAGTAATTTAATTTTAAAAATTTAATCTTTATGATGAAAATCTTGCCCTCTCTGATATTAATGAAATGACATTTTCAAAACTGATATCTTTTTATTTTCATTGAATATAATGGAATAAATTTTGAATAACTGAAAAATATTCATTATTGTTAGGTTTAAATTTGTATGGATGCAAGAAAATTCATTATTGTGTAGTACTTTCTTAACAGAATTATCAATGGTAATGTATTTTATAACTTATTCAATTTTTCCATTTGAAATTTATCACTATTGTTTGTATATAATATATCAACAAGTTTCTGGAGAAGGTTAATGTATTTTCCCATTCTGTAGCACCATCACGTTGCCATTAAGATAATGTAAGAACTATGGAACTGCAGAACTATACAATTGAGGAATATGATTGATTTTGAAATTACTAACAGAATTTGTTCATAATGCCCACTTAGTAATTGTAAGTGTTTTTATATTTTAAATTACTGTATATAGTTTATTCAATTGTTTTTACACAAGTTCAAACTTTTTTCTAACTTAATAAGTAAGTTTATTATAATTATATTATTTCCAGAAAATATTATCTAATTTTTCTTTTGCATAAGATGTAAAAAAATGGACTTTTAGATAATTGTTTTTTTATTGGCAGAATGTTGGATTCAGGTCTAGAATATGCTAATANGTGCTATGATGCAGAGATGCGGCCGCATCAGGCGGCACTGTGAGGGGGCGGCATAAAAAACATTTAAGGGGTAGAATTTCAAAGACTTGCATCATACTTAGAAAATCTACCGCACGGCTCTGGTAAGATACACCAAATAATAAGAATTATAGCCTATATAAGACTAATAATTTATATAAAGGGTGGCAAAAAAACATATTAGGGGCGGCATTTCGAAGACTTGCATCAAACTTAGAAAATCTACTGCACGGCCCTGATAATATTATCAAGAAATCAGTCTCCATTGTTCTCAGTTAGAGAATGGTTAAGTTTTTGTTTAAGTAAAATTCCTACCCTTGCATCAAGGTTTTATTTTCCTAATTTCTTAATTATTTAACTACTACTTAAGTAGAAGTAAGTTGAAACCGTTTACAGGGTGAGTCAAAATTATGTGAACACTATTTGAGAGAGAGCATTTACTCAAAGTTTGCGTTATACAGTCTCAACCTGACCACCAGCACGGTACAATTTAGTGCCAGAACACCTTTTATTCTGTCCTTGAGGTCTTCGAGGTCTCTCGACAAAATTAAGATGTTTCATTAATAATGTTTAATTAAAAATTAAGATTTTTCACATAATTTTGACTCATCCTGTACTTTGTACTTGAATATTTGTAAGCCTTGGGAAAGAAGTGGAAAGACAAATTTCTATGACATCGGATGCATAAATCGTAAATTTAACCTAAGAAATCTTGTGAGATTAAAACTTTTGCTGATAAAGAATAAACAACAGATATTGTTTTAATTCTGTGCTTATTTATTTTAATTTAGTGTAAGTCACATGCTAGTCAGGTTTGAATCGTTACAAAACTTTTAGAGGCTATCCATAAATGACGTCCATACTGGGAGGAAGGGAGAAGTTNTTATAATTATATTATTTCCAGAAAATATTATCTAATTTTTCTTTTGCATAAGATGTAAAAAAAATGGACTTTTAGATAATTGTTTTTTTATTGGCAGAATGTTGGATTCAGGTCTAGAATATGCTAATATCTCCACAAGTGGATCTGAAGATAGTTTTAGCGAATATAGCGAGCCAGAATCTAGTGTCGATTCTGACATAGGCATCTCTCCTGCTAGTGGATGGTACAAGATAGACAGACACCAACAATCCTCCTCCTCCTCCTCCTCCTCCACGATTTCCTTTTAGAGCAAATTCAGTTTGTTGCTTCACATTAACTAATCCACTGGCATATTTCAAATTATGTTTTGATTTACATTTGATAAATCTAATTGTAACAGAGACCAACCACTTTGCGTTGCAACAGCCGTGATTATCTGGACATCACTGGGAGCCTGTTACAATGGCCAATATTTATATATTTTTGATCATTTGTATCTTGCATGGGATCATGAAGAAACTGGATTAGAGAATGTATTGGTCCACAAATGATATATTTCTTATACCAATTTTTTCTAGGCTGAGTCCGAAAGAAGATTTTTACAGATAAAAAAAAAATTGGCACTTTACAAATAATGAAACATATGATCCATCAATGCATCCTTTTCCCAAACTTAACAAAATTTGATCCATACTAAACAATCTAAATTTAAAATACCAGAAAGAGACATGGTGGTTGACGAGAGTCTCTTGATTTTCAAAGGCCACCTTACGTGGAAGCGATACATTCCTTTCAAAAGGTCTCATTTTGGTATAAAAATCTGTTATTTGAATCCTCATCCGAACGGATATCTATATAATTTTATAATTTGTACTGGAAAAAATACTCCTCTCAATAAAAAATACAAATGCCTTACAATTTTTGTAGATACCTTCATATCCACCAAATTTTTACAAATACAGCCGAAGAGGGACAGACAACCTGTCCAAAATGCACACCTTGTGTCTCAGACTTTGTGTAAATACTCCATGTCAACAATGTGTGATAAGTTCTCCATAGAGTCCCAATAGTCTTATAAGGACCAAAAACAATTTATGTACAACACTTGTATTTACTTTTATTTTTTCATATTATTTGTCATAATTATATCATTAAATTTATTTTCATTTTATGTTTTGTCATGTTATACGAGTATTTCTTTAATTATTTTTTTAAAGTAAAAAAATACCAAACTTCAAAGAATGGCAGCTTTCCAGCAAAACGAAAGATTCTGATTTTCTACAGGAAAGTCACTAATACGGGGATGCCCCTGTAAAGACGTTTATCCAAAAATTAAAAAATTGGTTTTTCCGAGCATAATTTAAATAATTAAACGGGCGTTAAGGGAGAAAACGCGTTGGAAAATATGAACAGATAGAACCAGAGCCATCCAGAGAGGAAAGCGGTTTTTCTCCGGCCGAAGATAACTTGGAGCCCATTATAAAGTTTTTTTTTTGTTAACCAAAAATACTTAAACTGCTTTTTATTAAATTAATAAACATTCAACTAATTTTACTTGTTCAAATTAAAAAAGGGGGGTTTACTCTCCGCTCTGTGGGTACTAAGAGGGCCCCTCTAAGCAAGCCTCCAGTTGCCCCATTATGGGTTCGGTCAGGTCCACAATGGGTGAGCTGGATGGTGAGGGACTGGGCCAGACATCCGGACGGACCACCCCCGACAAATTCCTGGGAATGCTTCGATCTCGGGTCCCTCCAGAGCGGTAAGCTGCCACCTTCACTCGGCCATCCGGCCGTTAAGAAAAAAGGGACTTCGAGTCCCGTATAAACTCTCGATGTCCGATATAGTCATTTCGTTAATTTTCATGTGGCTTTACCATTCTCCAACTCCACAGATATAATTAACTGCATATTTATATGATTGTAACAAATATACAGTATTTTTTTTCTATAAAAAATATTTGCTTTCTATAGGTTGTGTATTATTGAATTTAAAAAAATAAGAAGGTGGATCGAATTAGAAAAAAAAGTTTTCTTCCTATTTTTGTATGCTGTAAATTATCAAATTGTCCACTACAAAATCTGCAGTAAATGTCAGAAATTCTATAAATAACTTTGCATACACTACATAGCATTCGTGTTTTCCAACTAGCAGATTTTATTGGCACCCTTTGAACCATTCTATGAACGCTTTTGTCTGTAAAGTTCATTGGCGCGACGTAAATAAACAGTATCACTGCGCGGCCATCCGACAAGTGATGTGGCGTACGAAAGCCACATCTATAGCTTTAACGAAATGAATAGATAAAAACTTTTGATACAAATGTTTGAAATCCATAGATATACTGTAATTTAATATTTAAAATGGGTATCGGACATTAGTTAACACAATCAACAATGTTAAATTACATAAAAAGAACAATTATATTTCTGGAATGCTGAAAGTTTCTGTTTTTTACTGTACAGTATATATATAAATATATACTGTATTTCTAAATTTAAGAAAAAGGTTTATAACATAGAGCAAAATTACAATAAGTCATATATCAAATTTTATTACTAGTTATTTGCATGTTTGTTATAAACCTACTTTTTTAAATACAGTATTAAATATTTTTACATCATTATTAAAATTATTCGAAACAATTTAACTACAGTACAATAAAAAAAATTACAAAAAGAAAATTTATATGATTTCCTGTATATGAGCTAAGTTAGGTTTACTCGACTCGTGAACGATCTACCGAGGAAATTGCCTCCCGAAAGGACTTTTATGGGAAACTGACTTCTATTTAGGTGTTTTTATTTATTACTGCACTAAGAGGGTCTCTTTTTTGCAAGCTTATTATGAATTCGGCCAGGCCCACAATGGATCGATCGGGTGGTGAGGGACGGAGTACCCCCCGAAAAATTCCTGGGGATTATTCGATCCTGGGTCCCCCAGAGCGGTAGGCTGCCACCTTGACAGCTCGGCCGTCCCTATTTAGGTGTTACAAATGTGAAGAAAACTCCACGTGGCCGGACCGTTGGTGAGGCGCGAATCCACGACCAAGACTTTTTTTTAAATGCTGTAGTCTTGGTCTCTGATTTAATACGGATACTGGAAGAAAAAAAAAGTAGTAAGGTTTCACTAGTCTTATGTTTTACATAAGATAACTTCATTTGAAATTTTAAAGATTCAGTAAATTTTTTAAAAAAACTCTGAGAACCCGGGTATCTAGGTTAATATAGAGGTTATTGCGTAGTCGCTTATCCTTAGAGCCGGGAGATCTAACTGGCCCCTATTTAGGCGTTAGATACACGGAGAAATCCCGGAAAACCCTAAGTGGCCAGGTCGGGCTGGCCACACGTGAATTCACTACTAAAGGCGGCTATACACGATGGGTTAATCCTCAAAGGAGTAACCATGCATGCCTGATTTTGAGTCATTCCTGGAAGTGTGTGGGGGAAAATTTTACAGTTTCGGCGAACTGTACCGACCACCTGAGTAGAATCGCCCATATTCGTTAGGTTAATTCTCAAGGGAGTAATCATGCATGCCTGATCTTTATAATTCTTGGTAGTTTATGGGGGACAATTTAACAGCTTCGGCGACCTGTACCGACCACCTGAGTAGAATTGAAAAACCATTTGATTTTCCTGGCGCAGTGTCAGACTGCGCAGGTCGACCTAAACGTGTGTGAGAACAATGTCTCGTGAATGTTTGGAAGAATTATTTTCTATAACCTTATTAACTTTTATTATTTATAACCTAATAAATTAATTTTTCAGGTTATAAATTATTTTCGGATCAAAAATTTCTTGAGTAAATTAAAATTATAAATAATTTTAATATTTAGAAAACTTCTCAATTCATTTCTTCCGTTTTCATAAAACATCTTGATACTCTTTATCATTTTCTTCTACATTTTAAAAAATTTATTGTTTTAATATCCAAGTAAATTAAAACATGACAACTTAAAATAAGACAAAGTTTAATAAATTCTTTTTAATTATTAAATTATAAAATTAATTTGCGATAATAATGTTTACAATTTGTACTAATATCGGATGTGGTTGAGAATTATTAATATATATTCGTCTATAAAATTTAATCCATGAATTTTTTTGGTAGTAAAATCGACTTGCCATTGTCTTTCGCTGATAATTGATGCTTTTTAACATAATCTATAGCCCAAGATTTCTCTTGAAAAATTAATTTTGTGATCTGAAATAATTCCATTAAAAAATTATTCATATGAAAAATTAATTTTGTGATCAGTGCTACCCAAACCACTACTACTACTATTTACACCATAGACTTCTATGCATACTTTTTTCCCGCGAGTTTTAATAGAATTTGTTGCCAATAAAATGAATCAGTGGTGTGATAATAAACACAATGGCGTAGCGAACATAATTGCACCCGGGCCGCGACACTATATTGGCGCCCCTCCCCCTCCAGAAACAAATTTTGTTTTTCTTGGAAACCATTTGGCTCCCCTCTGCTAGTGGTGCCCGGGGCAAGCTGCCCCACCCTCTGCTGAGAGGTTTTCTTCGTTTGTGAGCGATAGGAAATTCTGAAGTTCTTCAAGGCCAGGCAGCCTCAAAGGATTAACCCATCGTGTATAGCAGCCTTAATGGGCCCGAACCCGGACTCATCTGACAGAAAATGATATATTGCTACGCCCTCGATCGGCAAGAACTTGGAATGTTTAATTTCTATTAAATACAAATTATGAAAATAATCATTAATTTAATCAAATTATTTACTTACATTTGCGAATTATAATTAAAATAACTTTAATATTATTTTATTGATTTAAATTAAACAACGAGCATTTTGGCGCAAGAATTTTCCAGCCGGCTGATTGGAGGAACGTGTTTAAAATGTCTGAATGGTCGAATTAGTGTGTTTATCAATACGTGATGGCCGTGTCATGTAAAAAGAAGCATTCTGTATTTTCGATGCGATGCAAGAAATAATTCACTCGTAATCAAATACAGATGGAAGTGTGGAATGAAGTGATTCGATCTTTTGCCAATTTGCTTTTACGAGTATTATCTTATCTTGGAGTTCGAGACGATCATAAAGAATTAGATTTAAATAAGATGAAAATTAATATCAGATTCAATAATAATACAAATGTTGTCTTAGATCTTAAGCCAGAATGGACTGTTGCTAAGGTTAAAGAATTGCTAGGATCGAAGCTTAATACTTCTCCCGAAGAGCTGAGAATGATTTTTGCTGGAAAAGAATTGGATGATAATATTAAAGTAGAGGTTAGTGAAATTGGTTCAATTGAATTGTCAATTTGAAATACATTAATGTATTATTTCATTTAATAAGTAATTCTGTATGTATTTTATGCTTATATATCCCTTACATTTTCAACAGTACAAAGTGACATCTTGCGTAACTCTTGTGGATTCCTAAATAGATGATTCCGCATTGCTTTCTTTAGGAGTACGGAAAAATTAAAAATTTAAGCGCGGCTTGTCTTCGGAGGCGGCGCAAATCTGATTAGGAATTAGTAGTTGGTAAAGTTGGAGAAGAAATAGTGAATAAGATAGACAAATTCTTAAGTTTTATGCTTGGTACATTGATGATGATATAGAAATATGGAGGAAGAACACATAGGGCATGAATTTCATCAAGCAGATTTCTGACAACCAGCTAGGTTTGTGCTTAGGGAAAGACTGGGAATCAGGAGATAGCATTCACTTCTTAGACTTGTGAATCACTAGAGTTTGTGATAAATTTCACTACAAGATATACTACAATCTACTAATACACACTACAATCTATAAGAAAGACATCTACCACTCCACTTACATTCCATTTCACTCAAAGAATCCAGCTCATTACAAGATTTTCATGTTTAAGGATCTGATTAAAAGAACTTTGGATCTGAACTTGGGAATATCTGGAAAAAGAATTGCACTTTATTTGGGAAATAGCATCTAATCATTATATTGGCAGCTATTTCAATAAGTTTTTGACAAATATAGCAAACAGAGATTACAGAAAGATGATACTGCCAAAGAGAAGTAGATGGCAATTTTTCACTATATACTAGACTGGAAAGCAGGTTTCTGTAAATACAGTTGAGAGTTTTGCCAACAAAAAGAAATTGCCATTATGAGAAACTTAACTCTGTTTGACTGTTTAAGGAATGATAAAGAGAAGCAGAAGCAAGGGGAAACAGCTAGAGTTTGTGAAATCACTATAAAGGATAAAGAAAAAATGAAAACTTTCATATAAGTGCAACCTGAAAGTCATAGAAAGTTAGACTAAGAGAACACAAAAACGTGAGGAAAAACAGGAAATTTACAGTATTAGCAAAGTCTAAGAGAGGAACCGTGGTAGAATGGGAGAGCTCTCCTATACTAGAGGAAATTAGGGAAAAAGAGAACTTATCTGAGACAGAGAGGCTCTGGACTTTTAAACAATGACTATGCACGTGCATAGTTAATATTAGGGATGCAAAAAATCTTTCTAATGTGTGCATGGAAATGAAATCTACCACATAAGAGTACATGTAAACAATAAGCACAGATGGAAGGAATACAAGGACCATTCTCTAAACTTATAATGGAATTTTTCCATTTTTTGGTTATTGCCATATTATGTTTTTAAATTTTTGGAATGCTATATCATTTTAGCATTTAAACTTTAAAGTCTTAAGTGTTCCTAACCATTAGTGGTTTTCAAACTATTGAAGTTTTGTGGATGTGTACGAATCTAATTTTTTTTTGTGCTGCCTCTGAAGATGAGATATTTAGTTCAAAAGTAATAAGGCATTTTGAATTTTTCTGTACTCCTAAAGAAAGCAGTGTGGAATTAAAACATTTTATATTCATTAGGTTGAAGGAAATCTTGTAAAGGATTTCTAAAACATATTTAACATTTCTATAAAAAAAAATGATACATGGTGCTAACTACATGAAATAAATTTATTTCAGTATTAAATGTATTCTAAAGGTAAATTTCCAAAGTTATTTAAGAGTATTGGCTATAGAATATAAAGTCACAAGTTCATCTAGACAGTTTCTACAGTGAATGGATAACAAGTAAAGTGAGATCTGCATTTTACTTTATTTTCTATATATTGAAAACATCACTAGTAAAGATTTTAATGAAAAGAATTGTCTCATTCATTTGTTGTAAAATTATGTCTTTGACAAGTAAGGCACAGACTCAGAAGATGATGTTATAATTTGTTTCTAAGATTTTTACATGCATTGTATAAAGAAAAAAATATGTACTGAAAGTGTAATTTGATTATTTAATTTTGTCAATGTTTGTATGTTTTATAAGTTTGTTTTTATTTTATTTTTTGATTATGCTTTATTTAATACTAAAATAATTAAATATTAAATTATAAAACCAGAATAAGATGAAGAAATTTGTTATGGAATGAAGAGAATGTTTTGATAAAAACTGGAAATTTGTGTTAATAACATTTAGTGTATTATACAGTACTGTACTGCACATACACAATAAAATTTTTCAACCTGGATCAGTGTTACAACATGAAGAGAATGATGAAAACAGACTAAATACAATTAGAACTAGCTGAATAAAATGAAAGTAGACAAGTACTGTGTTATGTAATAAATAATTACTAATATGTCTAGAGTAAAAAGTATAAATCAATAAGATTTGATTGTGTTTTGTTGTTCAGTGTGTTAGATAAAAATGAAACATAAAGAGTAGAAATTAAGTCTTCTTAGTAGAGATAGTGTCTTCATATAACTAATCAGTTTTTCAATATTTCAAACTGGGTATATGTAATTAAAGCACCACTACACATAAAACCAATATTCAGCAGGAACTACAAAAATCTACAAAAGCAAACATTTTCACCTACATTGAAACTTTACCCTGATAATGACTGTTTAACACAGGTGAAAAATGTGTAGTGCCTAATTTGTTTTCACATTAAGTATTATAATTTATAACACTAATAAAACTTACTCTGCTCATTGTATTCTAAGTAATAGTTTAATATTATAATATAATAGATATATTTTTGTTATTAGAACATAGGTGTGGTCCATAAGTTTTGAGACAAGGTTCATAAGATAAAAATTTACCAGAATAATAATAAAATTTTTTAATTTAAAATAAGCTCCATTATAGTTATAACTGGTAATAATTCTTCTTACTTGTACACTTTGACAACAGTTTTGAGAACATAATTTTAATGGAAATGAAAAAATAATACCATTAGTATTGCAGTAAAATATCAGTCTCAGAACTTATGAATTACACTGTGTACATATGTTAGGATATTAAAGCAATTAATTATCTATAAATATATATATAATCAAGATGGGTTGATAATAATAATAAGTGCAGAGTCCAAATGGTTAGGAGTTGAAAGTTGAAATTTGGCACACAGATAGGGTACATTACGAGAATGCACACTAAGAAGGGATTTTTTGAAATTCCTCCCCATGGGGGAGAGGGACAGGATTAAGGCTTAACACTTCCATGAACAATGGAAGTGTTAAGTAACAATGGAAGTGTTAAATGACAATGGAAGTGTTACGTAACTGGAAATGGAATTGTTAAGAGAAAGCGACATGCAAGATGCAGATGCAATTTTTTTCGTTTTTTGCGGAAAATCGAACATATTTTTAGGCCCATCTAAAAATTCTCTAATTAGTCCGGAAACAGGAGAACCCAATTCTTGCAATCTGTGAAAACGGGTAAGGTTGACTGTAACGTAATAATCTTAATCTTAGTTATCGTTACTTTTGCCCGAGCAACGCCGGGCCTACCTGCTAGTTAATGAATAAGTGAAATAAAATGTATATTGATAGATATTTGGAAGTAATCGTATTGAATTTATGATGTTTAGACCAGAAATCTGTTTACTTCTTGTAATTTTCTATATTTATTTTTTATATCAAATAAAGTAAGTTTGATAATAAGGAAAGATTATGATATCATATGCAAAAAAAAATCAAAAGTTCAACAAAATAATTTTAAAATATATAGTAATCATGTATACAATGTAATTTGCAATCAGTGATGATCTTTAGGTCATACTGTGGTTTCAGAGGATATCTCTTATTCTCCCATGAATAATATGACCTTAAGCTTCTAGCATTCTTCAGAATCAGTAGAGAAGATGTCAGAAAGATTTCTGATTTCCAATCTGTTTAAATATCAGGAGTTCTCATCCATTTGTGTCAAATTGCCTGTATAAATGTCATTTTACTCTGTCTAAACTCTAACCAAAACTGACACTTCAACTAGCAGCAAAGCTCTTTCCTTATCTGATATTAAATTAGATGTTACAATTGAATGTGTATGGGATCTAAATAACTGGGAAAAACTCCTACTAGATCCCAAGTATAAAATGACTGACAAACAAAACACTAAATTTGTTGAGACAATGACATTTGCATCCATTGCCCTTCTCTGGTCAGTAATTTTTACCATTAAATTTCAACATATTTTATTACTAGCAAACAGTAATAGATTATGCTTGACAGAATGATGTAATTAACAAACAAAGCAGTCATCATTACCAATTCAAGTCTGAAAATAGTTTTTATTTATCAAGATCATATAAATAAATAAAAAGTTTGAATAGTGAAATTCAACCATTACTTAAATTTTGCATTACTTAAGATGACTAATTTTGCTTGGCATTATAGAGTATAGTATATAATAGATTTTAGTAAAATAATAGTAGAGATGAATCAAACTGAACTTTGTATTTGTTAGAAACATGACATATCTAAGTCTTCCAATAGAAAATCGAAATAAATGTTTTACTTAAAATTAATAATAAATCTTAGTTAAGTGATATTGATTAAGATAATTAAAACTAAATTTTGTTTATGATGATTAAATTTAATTTGTGGGGTTTATTCATTTAAGTAATTATTTCAAATTCATTGTAAAATAATAAAGTTTAAATTTCACTAACTTAATTCAACTAATTTAACTAAATTTATTGTCAGTTTTTTTTTTCAATTACACTGTATTTTGAACTTGTACAAAATTATGGCATTTAATTGAATGTCATATTTTTATTTTATTTCAGGAATGTGATGTTAGTCAACACAGTATAATTCATGTTGTTCAGGTTAAAGGCAGGATTCTACCAATTTCAAAGCCTACGAAATCATGTCGTCTTCTTAGTGAATCAGTTGTAAAACTTCAAATATCTGAAGAAGAGAAAAGAGCGGGATGCTTATTACAAAGTAATAAATCATGAACTTGCTTAATTTTAAATATTTTTTTACATTTTATTATAAGTTGTAAATTTTAACAATTGAATTTATTAACACTTTTTAATATGTTACTAATTATTTCTAATCACTTTTTAAGTTCAGTTCATTTTATTTGTGCAAATTATTTTTTAAAATATACATGCATTTGAATTATACAGTTCACATTAATAAACTAAATCACCAACATAATAATTAAAATCTTGAATGTTGAGATTATTTGCCATTGAAAGTATAACTTCGGTTATTTTTATTTGTAACTGAATATATCTAATTTCCCCAAAATTTAAAATATACTCAATTATCTGATATTATTTATAGTCAAATAACCATACTGGCAAATCAGTACTCATGATTTTGGTGAACATATGTTTATTTTCTGTCCAGAAGCTTGGCAAAAGTCTGTATTGTATATAGCAGTACAGTACATAGTTGTTTTCTGTACCCATAGGCGATGGTGAGGGTGTTTTATGTTACTTGGAAGTTCTTCAAGTTTTGTGTTCTCTATTGTATAACTTCCTTATTGATGTTCAACATTTGTATACACTGTTTGATTCTTGTTTATTTGTACCCACAAGTGGTAGCACTTCGTACTCAATCTTTTGTTACATTTTGCTGGTTTTGATAAACAAAATGATGCAGACACTCATGAGCCTTTCTCCTTTATCCCCTTTCCTATCTTTCTTTATACTTCACCTTTGTCTCTTCTCTAAATATTACTTTTCTCTTCATTTCACACCCGGGCAATACCTCTGTGTAGTCCTGGGTCTTCATCCCCTCGGTGCTAGAAGTGTATAGAAGTGTATCATTATTTATAAACAATTAATTTGTGAATTTTTAGTTTTTATTTTATTACCATAATTTTATGCAGCTAATCTATTAATTATCTGTGTTTGAAAGTGAGTGCTGGTTATGTGATGATATGGGTTATCTATTGATTTTAACTTATAATTACAAACTTATCAAACATCTTTTCTGCTGTCTGAAGTCACTAAGAATGTCTTTATAAAATGTAAAAAATCCTTTATGTATTGCAAATATATATTCATATGCCATTATAATTTTTCTTGAAATCATCAAAGATACAAATGCCTTTCATTCAGTTTTTTCCCATTCATTTGCTTTGTCACTTTGCATATTTAATTGCTATTATTATGCATTCTTATGTGAGGCTGAGACAACACGCCCCTCCCGAACAGGAACGGCTGTTGAGCTAAAGTCAATATATCGGTGACTTATTACATAAATAGGACTGGTGTGACCAAGGGACAGACAGACAGACAGACAAACTATTCTATATTCGTCTGACACTGCTGGGCACAGTCGAAAGAATGTACATGAGTTACACAGTCGACACATGCTGAATGTAAAAAATAAACTGACATAAAAACTATTATTAAAAAAAACAAAGCAAAGCAAAATACCACATATGTACAAAGAATGAAAAGAGAGAGGGGGAAAAAAAAAAAAGAAGATGTACCATACTTAGTGTATTAGAGTCCTATTGATGTAAAGTTTGGTCATGATGTTAAAAAGATCAAAGTAATTTTTGCTGGATATTAGTAATTCAAGTTCGCATGGCCAGTTATGGTTGTCCTCTTCCATTTGCAGTTTAAACATGCACCTGATATCTTCCAACATTGGGCATGACAGAAGATAATGTCTCACTCCATTCTGCACATTGCAGATTGGACAGTAATTCGTGTCACTGTGATGAAAACGGTTCAAGTATACATTAAATCACCCATGTTTGGTTATCATCTGCAAGATCTAGTGTTGTGGATGAAACCATTTCCATGTAAGGCGCCTTGCAATGTTTGGAATAAATTGACAGGAAATACGAAGTCTGTTCAAAAAGTATCGGACTTTTATTTTTTCTGCGTAAACCAATGATGTGCAGGAGGCCTCTTTCGGTGGAGTTGTGGAGGGGACAGTCATGCACAGCTCTGAATTTTTTCGCGCCTGCAGGAAGCGTCAGTCGTTGGCAGTCGGCCTATGAGTGAGAACATGTAGTGAGCTCTCGTTGGATTCCACTAAGTTGGAAAATGACTGAACAACATGAGCAGCGATATTACATCAAATTTTGCCTAAAACCTTGGCGATACCCAAGCGTAAACCATTCACAAGATTCAGCAGGCTTACGGGACGATCCTCGAGGCCAAAAAAAGCGTGGCAGGTTGTCAGCAATATCAAGGTCATGTTGACAGTTTTTTTTACTCTCGTGGGGTGGTTTATCGTGAGTACACACCACAAGGCCAAACCATCGCAAAGGAGTACTACCAGGAGGTCCTTCGTCATCTTTCTGATGCTGTGCGATGCAAACGACCGGATCTGTGGTCGATCAAAACTTGGCAGCTGCATTGTGATAACGCATCCGCCCATTCTACGCATCTGATTCAGGCTTTCGTCGCCAAACACAACACTCCTGTGATTCATCATGCTCCCCACATGGCTCCGTGTGACCTTTGGCTATTTCCCAAGCTGAAAATGCCGCTAAAAGGAACCCGATTTTAGTCGAGAGAAGACATTGCGCAGAATGTGACAACCGGCTGATGGCCATTCCAAAAGATGCGTTTCAGCAGTGTTTTCAGCAATGGCAGGAATGCTGGGAGAAGTGTATACACTACCAAGGAGACTACTTTGAAGGGGATTAGGGTTTTGTACCTCAAAATCAATAAATGTATTTTTGCCGACCAAACGTCTGATACTTTTTGAACAGCCCTCGTATGTTGTTGTGGTAAACGATCCCATTCCTTTTGCCACTCTGTGATGCAATGATGCCATAAAAGTTGTTTAATTCTGGAAGTTGGAAGCTAGACATACGATAAATTGATGCCTGTTAGAAAAGTTGCCGCCCGAGCCAATGCATCGGCACGTTCGTTACATGGTCCTCTGATCCAATTGATGTTGTACTTGTTGCTGGACTGATCAGCTAAAATGAAGATATCCCTAGCGATAGGGTAAAGGCTGTTTTTATTTGTCAACACCTGAACAGTAGCATAGCTGTCTGTGAAGACAGAAATGTCCAGCTGTAAAAGTTTGCATTACAAAAGTCAATCGCTTTGAAAATGGCAAACATCTCTGCCTGAACACTGAGCACTCCGGGTGCAAGAGAAAGATTTCATGGTGTGTTTCTTCATTGCTGATATATACTACAAAAGTGCTGGCGGTGCCTTGTTCGGTCTTTGACCCATCCATGTAAACCTCTATAACAGATATACAGTCACAAGATCCAAGTCCTCTTCTAAAAGCAGGGTGCGGCAATTCAGCAAAGGATCTACTAACCTCATAACAAGAAGCATCGAGTGAGTAATACATTTACCTCGTGTGAGGAGAAACCTGCTGGAGCTATATTGAATCTGCTGAAAAATAGGAAGCTTTCCTGCTAAAACGGGAAGCACAGCATTCAAAACGGTAATGTAGGATCTGGTCATGCGCAGAAGCACAAAGCGTTGAGCTGTTCTGAGTTTACAGTGATTGTGAGAGTGGAGTGCCGCCTCACCCCACACAGCAGATGCATAACATATAATAGGCACAAACACACAATCATATATTGCATTCATAGCCTCGTGCGCAAGTCCCCAGCTGTTCCTGGCCACACATAAAAGATTATTGAAAATGAGGTTAGTCCTATTTGTGATGTGGGCAATGTGACTCTTCCAAGTAAGTCTATGATTGAAGATCACGCCAATAATTTGTTGTTCCATTTTGATGGCGGTATTTCCGAGACGAACACATGATACACACTTGTAGAGACTTTCTGACCTGGAGGTAGAAAACGCAATACCCTTCGTCTTAGTTGCGTTGAATATTAGTTTATTGTTGTTGCTCCATTCATTAACTCTTGTCAAAATATCACTGGCAGCATTTTCAATCATTTGTCTAGAGTTAGCAGGAAAGACAAGAAAAGCGTCATCAGCATAAGCAAAAATTCAGCACTGATGACCAAAGTCAAGACGAAGAAAGCTGTCAAAAATAATAGTCCAGAACAGGGGACCACAGACAGAACCCTGTGGATACCCCCGCTGTAGTTTTTTCGAGAAAATCCGCTGCCCAAGTCTAAGGAGAGCCTCTCTGTCCCTAAGGTAGTCTTTAACCAGATTGAAGAGGTTTTTAGGGCATCCATTCTCACTTAGCCTCTGCAAAATTAGTGGCCACCATGCCATATTGAAAGCATTTTTCAAATCTAGGCTAAGCCCGAACACAGACATTTTCAGTGAGTAGGTTTCTGATGTGTGCCTTGAGATCCATAAGGGCATCTATAGTTCCTATTTGCCACTGAAAACCATACTGGGAATCGTGAAAAAGCCTCCGCGACTCCCAGAACCAGTAAAGTCTATTGAATAACAGTTTGTCTAAAACTTTACCTAACATCGATAAGAGAGAGATATTGCGCATATTGTTGATTGTGAGTGGTGCACTGTGCTTTTTTGGAATGATAACGAACTGAGCACGTTTCCAAGGTTTCGGGAAAATGCTCTTCTGCAAAGAGATGTTGTAAATTGTCAAAAGAAGGTCCGGTCGAAGCCTCCAGATCGCCTGAATGATGTCTGCATTTATTTGATCTGACCCAGTAGCCTTCTTCCTCGGCATGCTGGCAATAATATCTTCAACTTCCATAAGGGAAAAGAGTGGGTCATTCTCCGAGAGGTTCCCATAATAAGTGAGAGTTCTAATACGAGCCTGTTCAAGAGTATCTTCATTGTTGGAATCACGAGGGCAAAAAGCATCAAATAATCTGTCTACAGTAACTTGGAGGTCATCAGCAATGGTTCCACTGTCCTCGCTGTTGATGAGAGTTGGTGTCTTTAGCTTGTTGACATTCAGTTTATATATGAAGCCCCAGGGGTCTCCCCCTGCCTTGAAGCAAAAAGCCTGCCAAGACTTTAACTTTGTTTTCTTTATTTCATGTTTGTATTCTTGTTGATACTTGAGGTATATCCAGTGAAGCTCCTCTCTTTGTTCACCTCTACAGTGCTGATAATTCCTCCGCAGCCAGTTGTTAGATCTTCGCATTGATGCCAATTTATCATTCCACCAGGGATTGGCCCTTGCTTGACTTTTCTTTCTGGGGATGGTCTCATGGCATGCGGCATTGATATTCTTAATAACGTATTCGATGCACTTCATGGCCTGTAACCGTGAGCATTCCTGCATGGGTGGAAGGTGGCATTTCTGTATAAGGTCCTCAAACCAACACCAATTAGCAGACCTTGTATTGAAAGGGCATGAATTGATTAATTCTTGTTCCCAATAGTAATCAGTATATTGAAGTTCAAATGTCAAATATTCATGGTTGGATAGACTGTCTACTATGCCCACTTGCCAATTCTTTAAAAAGGGGTGTAACCCCCTGAACAGATTGTGAGATCTACCCAAGAGACCCCATTTGCACTGTTGAAAGTAGGTTGCGAGTCTGGGTCATTGATGATGAGCATATCATGAGCTGCCATGAAAGCTTCCATGTCATCTCCACGCTTGTCCTTATGCTCCCACCCCATGTGGGAGAGTGTGCATTGAAATCTCCCACAATTAGGAACTGGGCATGCTTAAAGTGCCCCAAAGCTTCTGAAAGTTGTTGAAGTATGTCAGATAATCTAGACTCACCTGATGAATACACATTAAAAACAATAACCCTGAAGCATGGAAGGACACTTTCAATGCAGATTAAATTGCTAGAGAAAAGACTGGGATGCAGAACCACAGTTAGCTGAGAGTTCACCACTATATCTGAAACCCAAGGCTGCCCACTGTCATGTTGGATAATGTTATCCCTTACTTGGAAACAAGCAACTCTGTCATTAACACTGTAAGGCTCCTGAACCAAACCTATATCATAATTCTCCAGTTCTTGACAGAGTAGTGAATTGACGGCAATTGCTCTTTGTAAGTTGATCTGCACAAAGTGGATTTTTGAGCCCTGACAACCGGTATCTGAGCTCCTGTTATAATCCATAATCAATCCTTGAGGTAATTTCAGATTTCATTCTTATTTGAATGGGGCATTCCTTATCCAAAGCATTGTGCCTGTGATTACTCTGTTTCTCTCTGACACAGCTAATGCAGGTTGGTATCTTGGACTTTTTTTTGCAATCTTTATACGAATGACTATCACCACACTGACTGCACACCTTAGATTCAAACATGCAATCTTTTGCAGTGTCCAAATTTTAAACACTTAAAGAATGGCACAAAATCTGCAATGCTGCATTGTGTCCACTGCAGGTTGATTCACTGTTCTTTAATGAGAAGATTTCTAATTAAATAAATCAAAGACAAGTCTGTCCAAGAGGAGTCATCATTTATTTTGCATTTTAGATTACACATACACATTAATGGCGACAGGCCTTCCTTTTTAGGCTTCATGCTGCCAAAAGGTAAAAAAAGTCCTTTAAAAACACAAACATCCAATTAAAAGTAAAAAGAATGCCACCAATTCTTTTTACTTTTAATTATGAGAATGAGAGAGGGATCATCCGCCCGGGTAACTTTGGACGGTCACCTTACAAAGAGTTCAAAGTGGGACCTGCTGACACTCCTGTAGAGGGGATGGTGGCTGGGACAGCTGCGTCTTCTCCGGGACAGAAAAATAGACATTAGATAAAATTTACGGGTTTGTCATCCAGGAAAGGGTTTAACTTGACTCTGGAGGGGAACAGCCCAGACGGGGATGTTCGGCGACCCAGCGGCCCAAATCGTGTCCCTGGCAACAGACCAGGGACCAATAGAATCGCAGGGGGCCAGCATTTGGACCAAGTAAAATTTCGGGATTACGGGAAGAAAAAGGTTATAAAAGCCCAAAATCCCAAGGACACGAGGAGGTTGCGAAGTGATGTAAGAGAGCGTCAGTCCAGGAGACCCAAAGCAACAAAGGATACCAAACCCCGAAAGCTAGGATGGACAGTTCTCCATCCCTCCAACGTCCAAGACAGTGCCAGAGACAAACCTTCTTCAGACCATTGCACAGTATTGCCGGAGATGAAGCTTCTTTAGACCCCTACAACTGGATCAACAGAGACAAACTTTCTCCACGTTGAACTCATAATCTTAGAGACAACTCTCTCTCTGCTGTGCAGGACCTACCTCCCCAGATTGTGTAACTTATTGTAAGCATATCTTTACTAAATTAAACACATTGAATTTGAAAATATGGTCTCTGTGTGAGTCTCTTTGCATCCAGCAAACCACTACCCCCATACGGAAAAGGCTTTCTCGCGTCATCCTGACAGATCGTGGGCAAAGCAAGTGTTGTAACCTTTAACTGAAAGGTCAACCTCACAGTGGTGTCTCCTCCCCACACTTACCTGAACTTTTATCTTAAAAACTAATAAGTTTTCAATAATTTGAATACTATTTCTAAAACAAAAATAGTTTTATGAGTAAATATGGTTTTTTTGTAGAAAGCTAATGTAATTTGCAATTTTAAAACGTAAAAAAAAAAATACTTATGTTTTAAGCAGTTAATAGTTATTTTAACAAATGATATTTAAATATAAAAATTTTAATCATATTTAATACATTTTATGAGTTTCTTTTAATGCTATAATAATATATTTATATAGATAAATTTTTGTTTTCATTTCAGAACCAGAGAAAGCTCATTTTTTTGTTTATTGCAATGGTGAATGTAAAGATGTCTGTCCAGGAAAACTCAGAGTTAGATGCAAACTATGCAAACAAGGAACTCTTATAGTGTCTAAGGTTGTTTTTATTTTTATAGTACATGAAAGAGTGATTAAAGCATTTTTTTTTTTGTTGCTATATATTTATGCTAAGTCATAATTTTATATAAATCAGAATTGAATTTAATTAAATATTTCTTTCTAACTTTTGTAATGTGTAATTATGTATTTTTAAACTTCTGTTGAATAGTGGATTTATTGTGATTCTTAATATTTGTAATCTGTTCGCAAAACTGTGTAGTCAAAATCAAGTGCATAATTATAAATAGTAAGCAGTGTAGCTTATAAACGTTCAGTATAGTAGTAAAGTTTTCTGCATACAAATGTGTAAATATTTAGTTTGTATAGAATCTATCAGAAATAATAAATGCAATGAGACCAAAATACTAAATAATTAATACAAAAAGTCAAATATAGAAACAAGAAATAGCCCACATTTATAGTTTGATAGAACAGTATTTATCTACATAGTAAATTTAAAGTTATAATGTATAAGTATATAAAAAGTAAAATAATACTTAATTACATTCTCAACAGTCTCACGATTAGCCATTGCATCTATAAAAGAACAAAAATTATAAATATAATTAGGGCTCAGAGCATGATCATGGCTACAGCCTTCTAAGACATCTGATGTGATATTTATTACATTTCTTTTTTATGCATTTGAAATACAAATTAATTTTCTACAATGTATAATTAAAGTTTATTATACAGATTCTGGTCTCTACAGGTCTAGGTCCCAGGGTACAGTCATGTTTTTTCTTCCCTCTTGACCATCCTGAATATAATAAATGTTTAATCTATTCTAAAATAAAATGCCACATTCTGAAAAATTATTTTCAAGTCTCAAATAAACTCATAGACCAACTCTTGATATCTTTGTATTGATTGCTATTTACTTTATAATCAGTAATTTCAGATATTTTATTAATGGTCCAAAAATATTCCTAATGACATGTATGAATCATCAATTTATCAGGAAAATGATGAATATTTACAAAAGTATCTTTGCTCAAGCAAAACACCACCCCTCATCTGAAAATATGAAGTGGTAAAATTATGTGAATCAAACAATTTCTACTTTTTTTCACTGGCTATGAAAATTATTACTGTGCCCTGAAACAAGTACTCTATTTTTCTTCATTGAAGCACTATCTTGATTTTATTCTTCTGTTAATTTTACTGGTTTACTGAAGTGGTTCTTTCGTATATTATATAGAACTAGATATAACAATAAGTGGAAATTTGAGAATAATTTTTCTACTTGTGTAATCAATATTTTTTTCCTTGTTTGATCCTTCAGAAAATTTTTTAACAAGACACAAAACAATACAAGTCTTTTGTAGTTGATTTCAGCATTGTTTTAACATATATTATATATTTAATTTGAATGTTTTTGTCTCACTGGAGGTTTCAATAGCTTAACCATTCTATAATTAAAAAAGTTATATAAGAAGTATATCTATTTCAGGTGTTGAGACCCATATAAAATGAATAATTGAGACATGAAATAATTCATATTTTCAATTGTATTATTTTAGCTGATATAAGATGCTGTATTTCATGCATTTTCAAAATGTTCATGTAGTATAAACTTTATATTATATAAGGACCTTGAATAAGTTCTCGCTGTTCCTTAACAGATGGCGTTACCAGAACCACGTGTGTTTATTTTTAGATGGTGATGCATCTGTAAGGAAGTACAATAAGCGACCTTGAAATTCAGTATATGTCATTTCACTGAAGTGTAAACAACTTATTTTTTCATTGTGTTAAACATGTCTAGTTTCGTGCCAAAAAAAGAGTATTTGCGGGGAATTTTATTGCACTATTTTATTCAAAAAAAATCTGCAGCTGAAGCACACAGAATTCTTGTTGAGACTTACGGCGACCATGCTCTGTCGGAAAGAACATGCAGAGATTGGTTTAGATGCTTCAAAAATAATGATTTTGATGTTGAAGATAAAGAACGATCTGGTGCACCAAAAAAGTTTGAAGACGAGGAATTAGAGGCATTACTTCATGAAGACTCATGTCAGACGCTAGCTGAACTTGCAGAATCATTAGGAGTTGATCACACAACAGTTTCGAAACGTTTAAAAGGATTAGGAATGATTCAAAAGCAAGGACATTGGGTGCCGTACGAGTTGAAGCCGAGAGATGTCGAACGGCGTCTTTTCACATGTGAACAGCTGCTTCAACGGCAGAAAAGGAAAGGTTTTCTGCATCGTATCGTGACGGGTGACGAAAAATGGATACACTACGATAACCCTAAGCGTAGAAAATCGTGGGGTAAGCCCGGTCATGCATCAACATCGTCAGCAAGGCCGAATATCCATGGTTCGAAGCTTCTGCTCTGCATTTGGTGGGATCAGCTAGGTGTAGTTTATTACGAGCTGCTCAAACCAAACGAAACTATCACGGGAGATCGCTATCGACTACAATTGATGCGTTTGAGCCAAGCATTGAAGGAAAAACGGCCGCTATATGAGCAGAGACACGACAAAGTGATTTTGCAACATGACAATGCTCGGCCACATGTTGCACAACCGGTGAAAACGTACTTGGAAACGCTTAAATGGGAAGTCCTACCCCACCCGTCGTATTCACCAGACATCGCCCCTTCGGATTATCACTTGTTCCGATTGATGGCACATGGCCTGGCTGAGCAGCACTTCCATTCTTATGAAGATGCCAAAAAATGGGTTGATTCTTGGATAGCCTCAAAAGACGTGTCGTTTTTCCGACGTGGAATTCAAATGCTGCCAGAACAATGGGGGAAAGTAGTGGCTAGCGATGGACAATACTTTCAGTGACGTGTTTATTATAACTTTTTTAAAATAAAGTGTTAATTTTCACAAAAAAACAGCGAGAACTTATTCAAGGTCCTTATATAAAGATTAAACTTTTCATATTTCATTATATAATTAATTATTTCTAAATTAAAGGAATAAAATAAATGATAAAAATTTATTTAGTTTCTTTGATATTTATTTTTTGTAACTAACGTTATATAATTGAATCTTATAGGATCCAACATGTTGGGATGATGTATTATTGCCTAATCAGATTCCTGGAGTTTGTCAATCACAGAATTGTCCAGGAAATATTGCTGAATTTTATTTTAAATGTGCATCACATTCAGCGACTCAAGAAGAAACAGCTGTGGTATTATATCTTGTAAAAAATAATTTTCGAAATATTTCATGTCTCTCCTGTACAGAAATAAGGTATATTAAAATATTTTTTAACATTAAATAAAATATCTATAAATATTTTTAAAAGCTGTTTAATTAATTTATCTATAAAGCAAAAATTTATGTTATTTCATTTAGTTATTTTGTTTGACTAATTTTATTTTTAAGTAAACTCTACTAAAATTCTACATTAATTACAACTGTTTAAAAGTTTTCAATAAATTGAACATTTATCTAATTAAGCTTTAATGAATGTTTAATTTTAAGGAATTTTTTCATCCTTTTTAAAATATAAAATAATTATGATAATTTATAATTTATTTTCATTGTACAAGTTTATCTACATAGTTTTGATATATGTTATTCAACATATACCATGGGCATACACAGATTATAGAATCTAATTTTAATTTTGATATGTGAATGAACTAAACTAAATCATTTTGCAGATTCTTTACATTTATTCAAAGTTTTCAAATAACATTTTGACATAAACTAATGTTGATAAAATAAACAACATAAGCCATATAGGAAAGAATACTAAATATTATTTGTCGTGTATAGAAACTATATAACCTCGACAGAAAAACCTTGGACAGCATGTTGTTTTAATCAATATCTAGCTTATCCTTCAATAATATCAAACAGAAAAATTTTGTACACTTATAAGTATTTTATATTAGTAAACTTTTATTATAACTGAATATTTTGAAAAAGGAAACGCCATCATAGAGCTATTATAATTGAACACAAGACTAGACAAGAAGTGCATTACAAAAATTTTTTATGTTGATAATGCATAATAAAGTTATGAGCAATTGAAAAAAGCATGTGAGACAAAAAAAGCTCAGACGTAGTCATTTCTGACAAATAATACCTCAGACAGTACATTAATATTTACTTATTTTACCTTTGGCTTGTATAACAGCATTCATATGATCATTAATCATATCAATAAGATTTCAATATGCATTGTGACGATGTTTGTATATAAGATTTTAATAAATTTAAAATTTATTAATTTAGAAAGGATGATAAAAATATTGATATTACTATTTTTATAACTTTTCAGTTCTGTTGTATTGGTTTTTCCTTGTAAAGATGGACATGTAATTTGTTTGGATTGTTTTCACCTTTATTGTTTGAGTCGACTTGATGAAAGAACATTTATTCATGATGAAAAATTAGGATATACCTTGCCATGTCCTGGTAATATTTAAAATTATGTGATATTTTAAAATTACAGTAGAGCATCGATTATCCGACCCCCGATTAACCGTCACATCGGTTAACCGACCATTCTAGTTGGCAAAATCAAATGTCCGCTAGTGATGTGGCGCTACAATATTTGGCTATGCCTTGGCTACTTTAATAGTATTTTTACGTGTTTTAGCTGGCAACACTGGCTCAACCATGAGAGGGAGCCAATATTTAAACGATGCTTAATTTTCTAATTTTTAACGATACAATAGCGATGATTATTATTTTAAAAAAATTTTTGTTAGGTCTAACTTCGATGAAAATTCAATGCGAAGTAGGTTAATAGCGATATACTAATTACATGAGATATACTAATATACTATACTAATAATGTATTTTTTCATATTTTTCGGTTATCCATTTTTTTCAGTTATCCTACCAACCCCAGTTTCCAATTGAGTTGGATAATCGATGCTCTACTGTAATTTAAATATTATATATATGTATAATATGCATGTTAGTATGTATGCACACTTATTGTAGCATACTATATATTATATGTAAATGACTATATATAAAATTAATATATAGTTTAAAATCTCAGAAGCTGACTAATAATTTTAATTTTAAAAATATACAGATATGATTATTGTTACAGTGTAATCTCTTTATAAATGAACCTTTTAATAATAAACTTTCCAGAATAATAAACTTTTAGATTTTTCTCATCCCAACCTCCACAGCAATTCATGACAAAAATTTTTCAGTTGTGCAAGCATATTTATAATGAAATTTATACAATTTTCATTTCACTATAACAATTTCATTACAACTTCTTTCCCTGTTCTTTGCTATTGCTTCAAATGGTAAATAACTATACTCAGGGAGAGGGATAAACTCAGAAGTAACTAACAAATTATAGATGTACTAACCAAAACAACAGCCACAATTTGTCGTGGACACAAGTGTAAGGATGGCTATTTATGCCTCTTTTAATTTTATTTACCTTCTTCACTTGAGGTTCTAGGTCAGTGGTTCTCAAACTTTTTTGGACTTATTGTGCAACCGTCTCTTTACAATTTTTTAGATTGCTCATGGACCCCTTAAAATTAACTATAAAGCTACACACAAACCAATGCTGAATATTATTGGGCTAGAAATGGCTATAATAGTAATAATTTATAAGACAATTTGGCACCAGAGTTAGGTGTTAGGTGCCATCTCTTGATAAATTTAATAATTATAATTTTAATTAAAATTTTAATTAAATAATTTAGAACTACTGGAAGAAAAGAATTGGCCCAGAGCAGGACTTAAACTTGCAACTCCATCTTACTGTACAGATGCATTGCCAATTATGCTACACAGACCTCTGGTTCAATCTCCTCTAGTGCCAAATTGTCTTATAAATTATTAATATTATAGCTGTTTTTAGCCTGATAATATTCAGCATTCGTTGATGTGTAGCTTTATAATATATCAGGTTTAGTGATGATGTTTGTTTGTAAATTAACTGCAATTAACATATAGGCTACTGTTATTGAAACATGTTTTGACAAACAATTATTTATTCAGAAAATAGAAAATGTTAGTCATCAAATGATACTTAGTATGATGTGTGTCATCGTAGTATGTAAGCAAGCAACTGTTACCATTCATTACTTGTTATTATTAAAACAGGTGAGTTTGTATTTAAAATTTTGACATCCTTATACTTCTGGTCGATGGCATGCATCATACTACGTAATCAGATGGTACATTCAATGGGTTGGGTGCATATGCTTTGCCTGAAGTGACCTCTTTGCAGTCCCCTAGAGAACCATTGACCCCAGTTTGAGAATCACTGCTCTAGGTTAAAATGGCACCAAAGGATATCCATAGAAGGAATACTTTGCTGGGCTTCTGATCAGTGTGGTACAGGATAGGAAGCATATGATTTGGAAGTATGAATTAAATTGATAACTTCAAAATTAAACTGTATTTTGTTTACATGAGACAAGTAAAACAATATAAGTAACAAATATAACATCTTTGTTTCATATGTGGACTACATTTTTAGCTACTTAACTTGATTATACTTTATATACATTTTTCATTATAATAAACTTTCAGTTTAACAAACATTCTTAGTGATTCTCCCAAGTTTGTTGTAATGAGATTTTATTGTACTTTTGTTTGTGAATTAAATTACAAGTATCAAATTTAAGATTTTACCAGATTTGAAATTAAAAATTTTAAAAATTTACACAGAATAAAGATTTCTTCTCTTTTTTATAATGGATGTAATGAAACTCTGTACTAATATTTGAGGCAGCGTGTTAGCAAAGCCTCTTCTATGTTGCTTACAGAACTGTGTTCATTCTCAAAACCTGTTTGCTCAATTTTGATTAAAACTTTGCCATTTTCCATCAATTGCAATGAGGAATCCAAAACTGTAATAAAAAAAAAAAAAAAATGGGGAGTTCGTGATTTCATTTTTGATATATAAGGTCGTTTCACAAGCATGCATAACAAAGCGATATTGCATGAATTGTGCAACTATTTTGCAATTTCCTTGGTTGCTAACACATCTCCTATGGGCTTTGCTACGGAATTGTGTTCATTCTCAAAATTTAATGGGACAATTTTGATAAAATTCTGCCATTTTCCATTAATTGTAGTGAAGAATTCAAAAATGTAAGGAGGGTTCATTTAAATGTAAAAAAATAGAGTCCATGATTTCATTTTTGATTAGAAGGGTTAACGTGACAATGTTTGCACCAGGGGTGGGCAAGCAAGAGTTCAGTGGGAGCCGAAATATAGGTTTTGCAAAATGCATGGAAGCCGCAGTTCTGTACTTTTCTATTCTGTACCACAGTTCTGTATCGTGGTTTTATTATATAATATAAATATAATATAAAACGAATATTGAATTTTTTAATAAACATATTTTCACAAAATTGTGGAAATAAAATTGTAAAAATAATAATAAAAAGCAGAAATTAACACTTTCAGCAAGAGCCGCATTTGCCGATGTCTGGTCTATGCTCTCTGATGCGACTGAGTGCACCTAACAGAATTTAGGCCTAAGGGTCAGAAATAAAAACAGCATTGCATGCACCTAACAGAAACTATGTGCAAAAAACAAATAAAATACAAGAACAAAGTACTCGTCATCAATTTCTCTATTCTTGGATTGCCTCTCTGTGTCAGCAAGTACAGTGGTGCCTCGTACAACGTACTTAATCCGTTCCAGGTGCACGTCCGTTAAGTGAAACGTCCGTTATACGAAACGCATTTTTCCATAGAAATACATGTTAAAACATATAATTCGTTTCGCAGCATAAAATAACCGTACTGTACCATAAAAAATGAAAATGGAGCAGACACCAATTATGCCGGGTAGTCAGATGTTGTGAGGAGGAGGTGGAAGAACACTTTCTATACACATTCATACAGATACAGACTTTTTACACATTGCAGCGGGTCTTTTTTTATTGTTTGTTAATCGGAGTCAGATTCAGGAGAGGCTACCGGAACTTGCAGGGTCAACTTCTCTTGTTCCATGCTTTGTTTTTTGCCCGCTGGCTTCTTGAAAAACATGACCAAGGTGGTCTGTTTCTCTTTCTTCTTTAACACCTGTCGGAAATGACGGACAAAGGTGTCATCGTAGAGATCATTGATCCTGTTGGCCTCAGCTCTGTTTGGATAATGAGTGTTGGTAAACTCCTGAACCTCTCCCCATTCGACAAGAAAGTTTTTGTCAACTTTCACTCCTGATGATTTCTTGCTTTGTTTCAATTGAAATCACCTTTCTGTTTTTTTAGAAGCCATGATGCATTATAAATGACTTAACTTGCCAGATTATATGATACGAATAATTCTTTATTAATTAAGATCACTAAACACTTCTACGAGCTACTCTCGCTCCGTTTGTTTTTTACAACCTCTTTTCGTCCCGCCACCTCGGCATCTACACAATTACATTTCGTTTATTTGAATCGTCAACATATATTACATTACATTTAATGTTTATTTAAATCATCAACATATATTACATTACATTTCTACTTCAGATATACTAATAATACATTCTAATAATACTAATATATCCTAAAAATAGCAGATTGTCATTGGCAACGGCAAAAGAGTGGAAACATCATTCGCACTTGTTCGAAGAAAGTCCATTGTTCGTCTCACGTAACTGCCGAACGGAAAGTCCGTTGTTCGCAGCAAGTCCGTTGCTCGAGTCACGTAACGGTCAAACAGAAAGTCCGTTATTCGCAGCGTCCGTTATTCGAGGCGTACGTTATACGAGGCACCACTGTATAAGGATTGTGTTTCTTATGATGTGCAGGTACAAGGATCACTTCTGAGGCTACACCCCAGTGATAAAATGCTTCCAATTTGCATTCTATCGTGGGAGTGTAGCCTCCAATGAAAGGTCGTCTTCTTTGTGTATGAAAATTGTTTTTGAACTGTTGCTGGCTGAAACAACGGAAGAGAAAAAATGAAAACAAAATATTTTTGTATGTTTGTGGCATTTTGTGTTTTTATAAATTACATTTATTACACTTATAGTATATTTGTGTAACCAACATAATGAAGAACAAAGAAATGAATTGAATAAAATGATACAGGGCAATCATGACACAGACTGAGCACCAACATCAGTCTGTGTGTGTCATGATTGGTAAGACCATGTATGTCGAGAAGGGATGCAAGACTTGGTATCTTACCTCCCTTCCAAACATATGATGAAAATGTCACAGTTAAATGTGAAAGGTCATAGTAGGAACAGTGACATCCTGACCCAGAAAAGTAAAATGACAACTAAATGTACAATTTCAACCACAGTAGAACAAATGTCAAAGACTAGAGTGGAGAGAGCTAGTTGCTGTTTGGAGGTGACCTATCACCTTTTATACCAAAATTTCCTCCAATCAGATTATTTGAAATAAGCCCTCCACGCTTCTGACACGTGATGGAAGTCAGATGATCTTGCAAATAGAGCATGAGAAATTCCACACTAACTATAAACCAAGTTGTTTTCCTTCATCCAAACAGGAAGTTCCTTTTTCAACTTCACTCAATTTTATAATATTTGTTAAAATTTATTTCTCTACTTGATTCTCACAAATGCCATTTTAAAATCTTTTTCTATTAAATTGTTTATTACACATTGGAAATTATTTAGTAGCAACTAAAAAATTTTTCGACATTTAATAAAATTGGTTATATGGAAAAGCACTGAAACTATAGCTGAAAATTTGGTGGTCGGTTGTCACAGGAGATCAGTTACTAGGAATCAGTTTATCTGATGATCAGTTGTTCTGGCATTCACTTGGCAGGCAGACAATTGGCAATGGTCAGTTGCCTGATTCATACTTAACTATATTTAGGATACCATCACATTTTTATTGAAAGATGTTTAATAAAAGTGTAGTGGTATATTAAATTTTTAATTTTAAATTAAATTGTTAAATACAATTATACTGATATTGAAAATTTTTAATAAATTCAAACCAACATTTTTTACATTCACATTACCCTCAAAATGAAAGTTAAATAAATATGCATAAAATACAGTGGAACCCCGGTTAATGAACATAATCCATTCCACGAGTCCGTTCATCAACCGAAGCAAATTTTTCCATAGAAATTAATGCAATTACAATTAATCCATTCTAGCCGTCAGTATTTTTGTAATTTTATTTGTAAAATGGGATTTCTTTAATGAAAATATAGGAAAATGTGCTCATAAACAGTTGATCTAGGTTAAATTTTCGGAAAAGGGGAAAGATTTGACGGATAAAAACATCACATACAGTCGTTAAAGTTCTAAAATGAAAGATAGCAGAAACAATAGGCTAAATTATGAGCGATAGGCTTATAGGTTTATCAACAATCTCTGATCAGAGTCGACGAACAGATGTCAAATAAATGCCTCAGAACAAACCTTTCTCGTGACCTGATCTGGTTTCGGTTTTTACCTGGAGACAAAGAAGAAAACAATCGGGAAGCGAGGAATGGGACGCAGGACTAATCGTAAGGTGAGATTCAAGGAAGAAATACTATAAAAACCCTGAATCTCAAGGTCAAAATGCAGTTTTCCTAAAAATTCTATGGCGATTAATCTATGTCATCTTCATCTGGATTAAACCTGAAGTCGTGTCCACTAAAATTTGTGTTGTGTCTCGCGGACTGCTCCAGTCGTTGCCGCTCTGTCACCTACCATTGCTTCTGTGACCAAGCGAACCCGTCTCGTCCGCTCTGGGGCTATGACTGATCAGCTTGCACTATCGTAGGACCAGCGATATGCCACTCCTCAGTGCTGAGAGAAAATACTGTAGATAAGCCATTTCCAACTACCTCAAATATGTAAGCATCTTCCCATTCTAATAAATGATTTTCACTGTAAAATACTTGTCATCTTTGTCTCCTCTGCCACCGCCAACATACAAATTAACCCTAGACCATCACCGCCAGACAATTAACTGATTTTCCCTAAAAGTCAGCAAGCTTACAAATTTGACACAGAAAGCCATTAAGTTCATTATCCGAATTTTGTTTGTTATCCGAGACAAAATTTTTGCAAAATAAAAGTTTGTTANTTTTTATTTAAATATCTGTTTATATTCTACCGCGCATATTTTTATTTAAATATCTGTTTATATTCTACCGCGCATATTTTTATTTAAATATCTGTTTATATTCTACCGTTGCTATCATTCCAAATTTGCTATTTAAGATTGGAATGTTTTTAAAAATTTTGTATTCAAAAAAGGTTCTAATGACCTGAAGAAGACGAAAGTGTATATCGTCGAAAGCGCTCGTCAATTTAGTGACATAGGTGTCTAATTTAACGCTTATATGTTAAAAGTTTTTGTAATAAACGATTAGCGTGCTGTCCATTATCAAATTATAGAAAATTAAAAGAAAGTTGCATTTCTAATAAAGCACTGAATTGCAATTATATTTTATAATATGTAAATATGAATGAATTTATTTTAATTGTATGTTTAAATTGTTATTTTACAGTTGGATGTAAAAATTCCCTAATTAAAGAAACTCATCATTTTCGAATTCTTGGTGAAGCACAAGTATGTATGTATAGATATTTATTTTGTATGGTATGATTATATACTTGAGTTAAAATACGATATAGTGATTATATTGATCTTCAATAATTTTCATTTATATTAATGAAATTTTTTGGTTAATTGAAGATAAAAAAGTAACAAATTTTATTAATATTAAATTTATTATATGACCATACTGTATCATATAAACTAGGGTTTCTCAAACAGGATCCCGGGATCCCGGTTGTGTTTTTAACCCGGGAAATCCCGCAAATTTCTTAAAAATTCACTTTTTTTCTTATTTTGTGTTAAGGTTGAGGAATTTTGCAAATAGAAAGCATAATTAACTCATTCACTGTCAGAATACATTTGTATTTATTAATTTTAAACCTACCTATTAGTTTTTTTTAAATTTTTGCTCGTTATAGCATGTCACAAATGGTCAATAATCAATATATAGCTTATTTGTGGCAGGACTATAAAAATTCTTTACTTGTCGGAACCTGTAATATCTGGAATAATTGTGCTTACGCTGTCTTGAGTTTTAACCATGCCCAGTAGCTTCAATAAATGCCTGACGCCAGATTGTGCAAATTGGGCAAGGATACAAACGAGTACAAAGTCTGCAAGTATGAAGTTTTTCTTCATAAACCTGATTATTAAAGCCAAATGAATTGCCGAATTATCGAGCTCTAAGCTTGATGCCGCTATTAAAGCAGCCAAGGTAGACAAATCAAGAATACTAGAGAGCGAAAGAAGTACTACAATCTCGAAAACGAACTCGAAATCTTCCAGGCTACAGGTGAAAAAACACATAATATCTGTCTTCTCTTAAATGCATTAAACACTATTCCAATCACATCAATTGAATCGGAAAGGGCATTCTCGGTGGCAAGACTTTTCATTACTAAAATAAGAATTAGAGTGAGTTATCGGAGTATTGACCATCTTTGCTTTTTAAAATCTTATAAAAGTTTGCAATATTTTGTATTATATTTTATTTAAAAAACGAAAATTACCTTCTAAATTAGAAGTTCTTTTTTTTAATTTTTAACTCAATTCAAAACATTTTTTTTTTTGTTGTTGTTGTATGCAGTTTCCAGCAAACTTTAATTAATTTTTTTCTATTTGTGAAAATTTCTACGTTATTTAAAGGTAATTTTTATTATAGGCCTATAGACCTTACACAGCATTATTAATATGATTTTGGAGGTTACAGAACTTTAAAATTACTTTAAAAAATGGAAAATAATTATATCATTTGATTTCAAGATATTTTGTATACCTTAAAAATAATTAATTCTATCCCGGGATTTACCGGGATCCCGGGAAACAGTTCACTTTTATCCCGGGATCCCGGGACAAGCAAAAGACCGGGAAATGAGAAACCCTAATATAAACATTCAACTTTCAGAAGAACATTATATTCTTATTTTTTCCATAAAATATAATACAGTAGAACCTCCATTATCCGGATTGTTCAAAATAAACAAAAATTTTACGAATTTGATGATTTGCACCTGGCGAATTACGACACTGTTTATGTACGTGATGGAATGCATAACTTTTTTTGTTTCAACAATGTCTCACCCAGCACAGTGGTCGTAAACTGTTAAATGTGACCGTAGGGTCGGCACCTCTTTGGCGCCCTGTCAGGATGACACCACCGAGTCTCGCAGGACTCGGAAATCGCGACATTATGTCACGCAAGCGGTAGCGGGTGAGCGATTGGATTCGGAGTAGAGGTGAGGAGAGAGACGAGGAAGTAATTTACTCGGATTCCATGATAGTTAACAAAAACAATTTTAATAAAAACTAAAGAAAATACAGATATCTGGCATAGCCCCTAATTATACTATTCCGTTCGAGAGAGAGAGTTTACATGCGAATCATGGGTTGATAAATATCTTGCTTCTGGGTCAAAGGATCTGTGGTTACGCTGATGATGATACGCCGATGGAAAGTTCAATCTACTGGTTCTGGATCTTGTCCGTTCACTGGGGTGGAGGCACGGAGGTGTGGAGATGTTATCCTTAAACAGGCACGATCTTTTTCTCTCGGTGTTAATCCTGGGTCACGATTTTAATTCGGGAGGACGACTTTGTTGAGCGGACTTTTTGAGGACGACTTTTGTAGAGGGACTTCGGATGATGACTGACCTCGGGATCTTTTATCTTTTCTCTTCTTATTCCTCTTGGGTTTTTTCCATGAGGTCATGTGGTTGCCGTTAATGGTCTGGCGTCCAATATAGGCTCTGCATCGAAAGTTCCTGGTGACACATCCCTGACTAACTGGATCCGACTTAACAAGGAACAAACTCCGTGGGAAATAATTTTTATGGTTTTTAGCCTAACTCGATAAAACGCTCGAATTTAACCGATTAAAGTTTCCAATAATTAAAATTTAAAATAACACTTTATTGTGGGTCTGTTCATCCCTCACATAAATATATTTTACATAGTAATAAAAATATAACTTGGCATACGTATTTATAAATAATTTATATTCAAATTACATCATTTCTATGACCAAGGGCGGCGTAAGGCACGGACGACGTGGGCCACCGCCTATGCCTCACAGTCTGAAGGGCCTCACGCCTCAAAGGTTTATGCATTACTTAAAAGCTGTGAATGCGACGAAAAAATTTTACTCGTCATAAAATGATAAATAGTTTGTCAAATTTTTATTCATAAAAAATAATCAACATAAATTTTACTTAAGATTTTGCTGATCCCTCAGATATGTCCCCAAAATTTGGGGTTTTTTCCCATCATTGTTTTTTCCAGATCAGAAAATGTTCCAGTCTCAAAGTTTAAATGATTTTTTTTTTCTCCTTTCTTCTGTGTTCAAAAAAAATTTTTTCAAACTTTTCTACAACTTTATATTTAAAAAATTTATTAATAAATTCAAATTAAAAGCAATGGGATCAGTATTATACTTCTTTAAAAATGTTAAATGTAAAAATAAAATATCTCTAGAGTATTAATGAGTAATATTATACACTTTATATCCGATTTCAAGGAATTTTTCAAGGCAAACAAACCAAATAAAATAAAGGTCTAGTATTTATTTGTTAACCACTCTGCAGTGATCGACGGATATACTCGTCAAAGGTGATCACGTGGCACTGGAGAACAACATCGATATTCACAAAAACATTTTAGCCAAAAATTATCACGAAAAAAATTCACATTAAAAGGAATTATGTGACAATAAAGAAGGATTTTTTCTTTACTAGATTTAACTGTTTAAAAAATTTTTTCCAAAACAGAAACGAGAAAAATGTGTGGGAGAATTCTTAAAAAATTTCCCATGTTTACTCTTCACTATATCGTGATAGTGCCATATCTGACTAACCCTCTCTACAAAGGTTAACTTTTTCCAAATATTCCACTTTCAACAATTCCAAATGCATTTCACTAGTTCTAACTGACCTCATCAGTGGATACATTCGTTCATCAATTGTTGTTCCTTTATACTGGACTATTTCATCCAGCATGCATATACAGTCATACCTGTATTTAAATTAATTACATTTGCATAATTTTTTTTAATACAGAAATGTTCAATGATTCTTATTTTTAACAAATTTTTAGCCTTGTATATTTTAACATTATTTCTGTTAATTTTACAATTATAAAACTTTTTTTTTTTTGATTCTGATGAAACCGTGTTGTTGTTATTAAGCTGATTCTTTGCAGACACACTAAGGTGACATATATCAACACTTGGCAACTTATTGACTATTTATTCAGTTGGGACGCCTTTTACATTACGCGTTTCGGGCATTGGCCCCTCTTCAGCCAACTAGACATAAAAAATAAAACATGAGAAAATTTGTACAAAAATACGCGAGTAGATAAACTGTTTTTTTAAAAAAATTTTTTTAAAAACATACCATAAAACACAAACCACTATTGTACAGATGTCGTACAGGATGGACAATTTCATATTTCATATACAACTTGGAGAACAAACAAGGTCGACGATAATCATTGGAGAACAAACAGGGTCGTAGATAACAGCTTGACTACTGGGCTTTTAAATATGGCTTTCTTATAATTTACACAAAATTCAAATAAATAGATTGACAATTACAACATATCTTAACAATATTTGTTTTTACCTGTGGTTGATATTCGCATATTACACCGAAATTCATTCGATATTAGTTGTCGCCCTTTCTTTCCGAACAAAATTTCACAAAGTCATCTTAGCAATATTATCCAAACTGCCAATTTACATAGAACATACTTAAAGCAATTACATTAATTGTACAAACTAGTAATTATTATTTGTATTACTTACAATTCATAAAGACATACGATTTAAGTTGTAGCTTTTGGTTAAACCGCTCCTGTGTGCAATTCCCGTAACTACGCTATTTGGCAAACTAATTTACATATTTACTTGAGCTGATTTTTTGAACCGATTTCTGTATATAATAGAAGTTGGTATATAAACATGAATTATTATATTAAACTTAACATGACTTATTACTTTACCTATAATTATCTATTCATAAACGTTAAACTTAGATGATTTTCTTCGTAATTACGACCAATCAGCTTCAACTTAGTTACAATATTTTCATCCAGTTTTCGTTAATTTTGATGCTTAAATTTTTATTTATACAATTATTATTTTTGTTTTTTATAATCTCGACACTCTCTTTGAATTTTCTGTTGTATGTTTTCTTCTCTTTGTGTAGAATCTGTGTATTAGCTTTATCTATATTGCAGTTGTTTAGTACACAATGATCATGGAATACAGAGTTTAATCGGTGGTACTTTAAATCAGACATATGTTCTTTTACTCTCAGTTTAAGTTTTCGTTTTGTTTCTCCTATATAAAAGCTGGTGTTTTTACAGGTACATGGTATTTTATATACTATATTTTTCGTCTCTTCTTTATCTATTTTTTGTTTTTTAATATACTGTTTTGCCTTTAATCTAGAGAATAGATTTTCATACTTGGGAGCAAGTTTCATATTATTTTTCTTAAATTAATTATAAAACTATTATAGTGCTGATACCATGGTGATTCTTGTCTTTTTAAATGAATTGCTGTCTCATGCTCCTTTAACCTTTTTTTTCCAATCTTCTTCCTGTTTCTCCTAGGTAACACTTCGGGCTAGTACACGTACATATTTTATAAATGAGTCCTGCAACTTCAAATTGTTTTCCTAGTATTCTTTGGTCTTCTTTATTTATAATGTTAATTATATCCATTAACCTATTTTTTTGTTTTGCTAATATAGAAATAGAGAATTTATTAAATTCTGGTTTATATTTTTCAAATAAACGATTTATATATGGAAAATTATTATCTAGAGTCTTTTCATTTTTAACATTATATCTATTTTTACATTCTTGAAACCTTAAAACACACCTAAAAGAGTCAACTAAAAATTGAATAAATTTAAAATGAAGATTGCCTAGTGTTTGTGTATATCATGGTTGCACAGACTTATGAAGACTAGGGGCCACTCGGGCAAATCATGAACTGATGGCGGGCCAGCCGCCAGAAGTATAGGTAATTAAAGACGATAATAATTTATTAAAATTCAAAAAGAATTTATTAATTTGAAGCGTGGCACTGCATAGTGCTTACAATCTTTTTTATATTTGGCTCAAATTTACTTGTAGCAACACGTAAAACTGCTTCCAAACTTTCATTTGCAAGGCGGTTTCGATTTTTTGTTTTATTATTATTTAGTATTGAAAAAGTTTGTTCACATATATAGGTAGAACCAAATAAGCTGGCACATTTCAGAGCGTTTATGCGCAACTTTTCGTACATATTTTTATCAATGCAGCGGTAAAAGTTCAGCAAGTCTCCTTCGTTGAATTTGTTGCGTAAATCTTGATCGTTTTGAATGTCGATAATTTCTAACTGCATTGACTCTGGCGCATTTTCAACTGAAATCGTGAAAGGATTGCTGAATATGTCCAACAGAGGTTTCACTTTTTTAAAATCCGAAAATCTGTCTTGAAAAGATTGAATCAAAATATCTAGCTTTTCTACATAACTGAAATTAATCGCAGTTTTGTTGAATTTTTCAGCCATTTTCTTATAATTCGGAAAATGATTGTAATTTCCAGAATTCAATTGTGATCTGAAAAGTGTCAGCTTGCATTGAAAGGATGATACATGAGCGTAGAGCTGGGATATCAGTTGATTTTTGCCTTGAAGCCGTGTGTTCAAGACATTCAAATGATTTGTAATGTCAACTAAAAAAGCCAAATCACACAACCAATCAGGATTTTTAAGTTCCGGGACATCCCTTTGCTTTTCCGCCAGAAATATTCCAATTTCTTCTATTAAATTTAGAAATCGTTCCAGTGTCAATCCACGGCTTAGCCACCTTACTTCTGTATAATACAGTAAATCTCCGTATTCGCTTTCGATGTCATCAAGGAATTGTTTGAATTGTCTGTGATTGAGTCCTCGTGATTTTATGAAATTTACAGTCGAAACTACCACTTTCATGACATTTTGAAATTCAATTTTTTTAGAACAGAGGGTTTCTTGGTGTATAATGCAGTGAAACTGCATGAGATCTTCAGCGTTTATGTTTTTTCCTTGCAGATGCTTTTTCAGCAAAGTAACTAGCCCGGAATTGACACCAATCATCGAAGGAGCACCGTCAGTCGCAACTCCCGATAATTTTGATAAGTCCAAATCAGTTTTTGAACACTCATCCAAAAGTACATTGAGTATATCAACTCCTTTGGTTTGACCTTTCAATGAACACATTCCGAATAACTCTTCTAAGACTTCAAAATCTTGAGTAACACCTCGTATGAATATGAGAAGTTGAGCTGTGGAACTAATATCAGTGGATTCGTCGAGTGCTAATGAAAAAAATTCAATGATCTTAGTTTTTTCAATTAATTGTTCCGCAATATTACCTGACAAAGACATAATTCGTCTTTGGATAGTCATACGATTCAGTTGAATTTTCTCAAACTTTTTTGCTGCTTCTGGACACATTTTCTTAGCGGCAATTTCTATGCATTCTTTTACAAAATCGCCATCATTGAAGGGGCGACTTCGCTTTGCTATCATTCGAGAAATTTCATAACTAACTTCTGTAGCTGTTTCTGAATCTTGAATGGGTTTTGTAAACATAGCTTGCTGACCAATAATCTCCCGTTTTAAAGACAACATTTTTTGCTTTCTTAATTCGCCTGTAAACTTGGTAAAAGAAGGATGCTGCGTTTCATAATGCCTTTTTACATTATATTCCTTTGCAATCGCAACAGAATTCTTGCAAATTAAACAAACGACTTTGTTATGCGACCATACAAAAAAGTATTTCTCAGTCCAAATTTCTTGAAACTGCCGATTTTCATCTTTAACCTTACGTTTTTTACTAGGTCCTGGCTTCTCCATGTTGCGTTCTAATCCTGGCTAGGATTAACACAGCACCTAAAAACAATTACAGTACCTACTTAAATTACCCATTCTTTTTTAAATTATCAAAAATAATTGATTAAATTCCTCAGAAATTTTAAGATTTTTATACAGATTTTATATCTGAAATAATGACGTAATTATTACAGTTAGAGAAATTCTGATAAAAATAGTAATTTCTTTGTTTTATTTTAATATTTGGCCAACATTAAAGCTAAATTTGATTAAAATTGATTAAATAGGTAGGGAAACACTTATTAATAACAGAGTTTTACTTACGATTTCACAACACAATTATACACGGCACTTGACGGGTTAACAGGAAATCTACGTTGAATGTGGATCAAAATATATGACACCGGCTAGTCGAGTTAAAATCTACACTAGAACTATTGCCTCCCCAAAACACTATTAAACTGCACTTATTCTCCTACGCTTCGTGTATCTACTCGTACCTACGCGAGCAATCGGGAATTCGGGACTATTGCTATCTCGCTTGCTCACACCGCGCTAGAAAATTCTTGATTTCTCTACTATTTTGAACTTTATATAAAGTTTTTAGATTTTTTTGGTTTTATTCTGGAATAGAATTAAATATTCTTCGAATGTACGAGAGTATTATTTTTGCTGTCGGCGGGCCACCAGTATTCGACTGGCGGGCTGCATTCGGCCCACGGGCCGCGGTCTGTGCATCCATGGTGTATATACACTATATGGTGTTCAAAACAACAAAAATTATATCTGTTATTTATATAATATTCATATCACTTACATATGATATTCTTTGGATAGTTATTTAAAAAATATTTATTAAGTAACTATAACTTGTTATCTTCTTTGTCCACATTAAGTCCAGTTTGCAGGACTCTACTGTACTGTTAAAAAGTACAGTTGCTGTTTTAATGCTAATTTAATATCTCTCCAAAAAAAATTGTTATCCACAAAAATTTTAAATAAATTATGTATTCATATTGATTGAATTATTATATTGTTGATAAATTGCTTTATATATGTGTATACAGTATTAATTTAACATAAATTTGCTATTAATTTTTATGATTAAAAGATTAATATAATTATCACATCGCAATTCATAATTTTTATGTAATATATAGTATGCAAGATACCAAAGATTTGGAGCTGAAGAATGTCTTCTGCAGTCAGGTGGTGTTTTATGTCCAAGGCCAGGATGTGGAGCAGGAATTTTACCTGATCCTGAGTGTCGAAGAATAGTATGTGTTCCCTATGGAGGACAAGGATGTGGAGTAATTTCAGATTTATATTTAAAAACTTTTTAATTATACAGTATTCATAAATGAATAATTAATTTTAATATAAAAATCCAATTTATTTAATGTTTTTACAAATGCCATGATTATTTTAAAAATGAAAAATTTTGCTCAAAATAATATTGATATTAAATTTAACATTTATTGTCACATGTAGTATAAAATATAATTCTTAAATTATATTATATTATAATAATAATAATAATTTCATAATGAATTTATAAATAATATCTCAATCTGTTACAGTAGAGTTTCAATTATCCAAAGTATCTTAGATGGAATGTGGTCTTGAGGATATCTTGAATAATGCAAATGTTTGTGCTATCCAAGTAATATTTCAACAAAATAGAGAGTATTGTTATATAATCAAAATTTTATGATAATTACAAGTAAAATTTGTATTGAAAAAGTCAGTTTAAAGTTTTTTGAAACTTTTAAAACCCATTTAAATACTATGCATCATTCAACCCAGATTCCCAAAACAAACTATTCTGTACTATGTTTTCTTGAGATGCAGTTCACATTTGGATAATGCAGAACCAGTTAAATAGGTCTCTGCTAATCAGGACTCTACTGTGTAATAAAGTACAGCATATAATTTTTATATATAAGGCTGATAAAACCTAAAAATAGAATATAAATAACATAGAAGAAACTAAAACATCTTCAAACTTTTCATCATATCTAATCATCAGGAACAAATAGTCTTCACTTTGCAGAGATGACCTTTTAACAGTTTAAAAGTTTGCTGATTATAAGCCAAATCCTTTAAAAATATACATATAGTAGAGCATCGATTATCCGAATCAATTGGGGACTGGGGTTGTTCCGAAGATCGATATTTCGGATAACTGATTATGTACGAAAAAATATATTAATTTATCCCATCTTGACATTTTTCTCCATTGCATGTCGCTTTGCATTGAATTTTCATCAATGTTAAGCCTAACGAAGACTACTGTATGGTTAAAAATTATTTTTTTATTTCTTGTGAACAAAATAAATATATTGAAAAATATAAAAAAAATAAAAAATTATACTTCAGAAGTTAATTTAGTATCAAAAACGTAAAATATTTGAGTAGCCCAAGACATAGCCAAAGATTGCAGTGCCACAGCACTGGCGAAAATTTAAATTTGCTGACTGGAATTCTTTCGGATGATTGACTTTCGGATAATTGACGCTCTACTGTAATTTGAATTAAAGAGGCAGACAGTATATTTCACAATATAAAAAATATAGAAGAAACTAAAATATCTTCAAACTTTGGACATTTTAGTTTCTTCACAGGCTAGTTTATCATATCAATTGTGATTATTTTGCTGATCACACATACAATAAACAACTAGCAATTGACATAATACATGTGCATCAGTCTGTCTCTGTCACATACATTCACAAGGAGTAACATGAAAATTTCATTTGCACCACCCTGTGGAATGTTGGATTATTGGACATAGTGGACTATAGAGACACTACTGTAAATGAGATCATCAGAGTGCATTGATTAATAGTTTTCTTTAGATGGTAATTGTAGTTAAGAATTTCTAAAAGATGAACATCTGACTGTTTGAAATGGAAGATGGTATCCAATTTTTTATTAGCTAAGAAAAAATTATGTTTTAGTATCAGTTCCTTTTCTAAATACTTTAACTGATTTTTGCAGTATTGCAATCAGTCATTAGATTTAATCTCCTACAGAAATTCTGCCAATTTCTTTATAAAATATAATTTAGAGGTATCAACAGAACATTTTCATTAGTGCTAGAATATAGGTCTTGTCCAATTAAATTCTATCATCAAGATTATGAAAGGAATGAAATAAGTCCTTTATGAAAAAAGTAAATGTTCTTATTCTAATAGCAAGGAGGAAGAAATTAATTAAAGATGCTATTCAATAAGTTTATAATTAGATAAAAGATATAGTCCTTTGCTAAAGAATGCTGTAATTTGTAAACAAATGTTTTCGACCATCTTATTTGGACATCCTCAGGTTTTAAATTTAACAAATTCTATATGAGAATGTAATTGGAACATTTTTAAATATTTTAAAAAAATATAACATTATTGATTTGTGATTGCAATTGCCAAGATAATGTATACACATCATTACATATAACCAAAGTTTGTGCATTTAGGGAGATCGTATAGTCTCCATTATTGTCTTAACACTAGTATTAATATTGTTGAAGAAGAATTTTAGAAAGGAATATCATATTCTGTCTCTTCCTTGGATGGAATTTGTTTTCTTAAGGACATTAAAATTTTAAAAAGTCAATTTAAAATCAAGAATTGAATTTGGAGATAAGGTATTTTGTTGCATTTGTCTTTCAGATTTATGCAGAAAATAATCTATTCAGTTTTTATTCAATATAGAACAGAGATTATAATAAATGAGTATAATATCTGCTGATTTTTGTATTCTGAACTTTTAAAAAAATAATAATACAGTTTGCACACTGAATTGTGTGTACTTTTTGAAGATATATTTAATTTTTTATAAAAACACATTTATCATTACTTCTGATGATATGGCCCAGCTTAAATTTGACAAATTTTGATTTCTCTTATTGTTTTGACACATTACAACTATTATTTTATATATTAAATAAGAAAAACTTTAAAATCTTTTAAAATATAATGTTCAAATATACTGGATATACTGTTTAATTATGTAATTTATATATATACTAGTTGCAAGGGCCCGCTTCGCTGGGTTTTTATTTGTGGGCAAAAAGTAACGATAGTGAAGATTAAGATAATTACATTATAGCCAATCTTACCTGTTTTCACAAAATGCAAGAATTAGGTCTCCCGTTTCCAGATGTTTCCAGAGAATTTTTTCATGAGCATAAAAATATGTTTGATTTCCTGCAAAAGCGCAAAAAACCGCCTGTAAATCTTGCATGCCGCTTTATATTAACACTTCCTGGTCCCGATTCTATTTCTGAACGTCTCCTGTTCACGTCCAGTCAAATGAACTATTTTCAACGTTTCTGGAACGTTTACGATCGTTCTATAATCGAACCAATATTTGAATTTTATGTTCGAATTTAATTCGAACAAATTCAAACAAAACATTCGAAATAGAAAGCCACTTTCAACCACTTGCAGCCTCATATCTCCCGCACCCTTATAGCTATCGAGACGCAACCACCCNTAATTATTAGTGTACTGTTTATGCTTTCCAGTAAGTAAATTACTATCAACACCAATTAATAGTATAAAGCATTGTGTAGTGTATATATATATTATATATATATATATATATATATATATAAATTGGACATGTATGTCCCTATATTTCACTATATATATATATATATTTAAGTAAGAAAACACTTTACAGACATAATGTTCTCAGATTTCTGACATGCTGTTGGAAAAGCATTTAAAATTTTTATTTGATTTAAAAAATAATTATATTTTAGACTAAAGTGTTCAGTTATGATTAAAATTAATATTTTAAATCATAACCAAATACTTTAATCTATTATAAAATCACACTTTATCATAAAATTGAACATCATTAAATGTTCAATTTGATAATAAGAAATATCTAGACACATGCAAAAATCTTTGTAAGCAGCAAAAGCAATTCAATTAAAAGCATTTTTGGTCATTTTTAAAGGTAGAATACATCTCCAGGTAGAATACATTACTTTTCCAAGTTCAAAATTGAACTTGGCAAACAAGTAGATTATAGTGGATAAACTTTGGGACATAGAATGCTGATTATTTATTGTATCACCTTTATATATGTGTTCTTCATGTATTCTTGTATATGTACTATATTGTTTTATTATTTATTTAGTAATTATGGATTTTAATGTATTTATATTGTACTTTTATTTATGTTGTTTATATTTTTATTCTATTATTTTAATTTTTAATTTAAATTAATCAGCAATCTATGTTCTGAAGTTTATCTGTTATATTCTATTTTTCTCTGAGTTCAGTTTTGTTTTCCACCTAAAGATGGTCTGTAAAAATGACTAAAAATGTTTGTAATTAAACTATTTTTGCTGCTTACAAAGGTTTCATGAGTGTCTGAATTTTTATAATCACAGTTTCTATTTTTTAACTAAAAATGAACATGTAGAGGACGTGGTTGCTGTATCATCAAATGCAGTGTGTAGCGTCTTTGTAATCCAAAAAGATGATTGGTAGACGAACGAACAGCAATTGGTTAGAAAACGTTACGTTTTATTTGAAAATTTTTAATTCAGATGCATTTCGGGTTGGCTTATATTCCCAACCCCTCTTCAGTGTTGTCATATAATGGTACAGCATAGATGTATTTTACAAAATTTTTAATTACATAGTAGTATGGTTATAACATTTTAGTTAAAATGTATTATTTCCGATACAAAAAGGAACATAGTACAAAAATTAACAACTGGTGTTATCCGGTGTTCACCGAGTAACAGAATACCGACAAGTAATGTTATATAAACAGTTCCTCACATTCCGTACACGGGGGTTGTGCTTTAAACAATCTTTAACGCGTGGAGGCGTTCTCTATGAGTTTGTACCATTGGGGGTCTATGGACATGCCTTCTGAAACATTAATTAAGTTATCTTTAGGGTGTTTTTTGATTTCTATGTGTTCTTTAAATTTTCTTTTATATGGGTCTTTTTCTAAATGTAACACTTTTATATTGTTTTTATTAATTTGGCAATTATAGTCTATTGTGTGGTAGTACCAGGGGGAAGTGTTATGTTTTAGGCGGATGGCAGCCATATGTTCTTTAATTCTTGTTTCTAGTGACCGGCCTGTTTCACCAATATAAGTTTTCGGATTTTGACAGTTGCATTCAAGTTTGTAAACAGTTCCCATAGTTTTAAGGACGTTTAGTTTGTTGTTATGTTGTTTATTAATGTCATAATGGATACTATGAGATATTTTGTTGGTCAAAGATGGAGCCAAACTGATATTGTCTTTTTTTAATGACTTATTACAGCCTTCAAAAATGTTTTTTATATATGGGAAGGTTTTGTATTTTTTGTCGGATTTATATTTTGTGTTAAATCTATTTTCCCAGTATTGCTTTTGCCATGTGTTTAATTTCGATTTAGGATAGNTGCAGTGTGTAGCGTCTTTGTAATCCAAAAAGATAATTGGTAGACGAACGAACAGCAATTGGTTAGAAAACGTTACATTTTATTTAAAAATTTCTAATTCAGATGCATTTCGGGTTGGCTTATATTCCCAACCCCTCTTCAGTGCTGTTAAAATTACACAAAAAATTAAGGTTAGTTTTACGACATTGGTGAGTAGGAACATAACTAAAACGCGAGGTGATGATAACATAAAATGCTTACTTGTCATATAATGGCACAGCATAGATGTATTTTACAAAATTTTTAATTACATTAATTTTTAATTAATTTTTAATTGTTTGTTCGTCTACCAATTATCTTTTTGGATTACAAAGACGCTACACACTGCACATAAAAATGAACACTTAAAAAAATAGTTACATTCTTAGCAGAATTAAAAAAAATATATATATATATTTAATATGAAAGTTTAATTTAATTTAAAAATTATATTCTTTATTATACAAGATTCTTCTTGTTTTTATTAGACTAAAATATATTTTTAGATCATAACAATTAGTAAATGTGCAGTTAGAAGATAACTCTATTAACTCTTTATAAAATATGTTTTAGGAATAGATTTAGCATTTTCATGTATTAAATTTATCTCTAAAAATATATTATTTTCAACAAAAATTTATAAAAATGTTTTTATAAATACTGTAATTATAAATTTAATTCTTTTTGCTAAGTGAGTATCACATTAATATACACATATCCTAAACTTAAGGATGGCCAACATTTGTTTGTGAATAGAGAACTGTAGATGAATACTTAGATATGAAAAGAACTATATTACTTGGCATCTATGATAGGGTAGTACATAACTTGTAGGATTTTTACAAATCAAAGCAATAAAAGTAAGATTGTGAAAAAGATATATACAGCTGTTGGACTTAGGTGGAGAATGGGTGGAAAATGCTTAACAATAAGTAAGCAAAGAGATCAGTATGGAATATGCCCCCACTAAACTGATTCAGTACTCAATATTGCGGCAGGCTGGTTCTTGAAATAGATCAGGTCATTCCTCCCTCAGAGCAATTGCGTTCATCCATAAGTTTTAGATACATGTGCATATCTTCTAAATTTATTAATATGAAAGCATTTAATTGAAATAAAATAAATTTAAAATATAAATTATATTCTATAATTTAATTTTTTTTAAATTTTAAAATAAATTTAAGGAAATAATAAATAATAATCACAGAAGAAAATTAATATTAAAGTTTTTTTGTTTAGTATGTTTTCTGTAGACAGTGCCTTCAAGGTTATCATCTAGGCTCTTGTGATGAAGAAGAGCTATCTACTGATGTTAATAATGTAAGTTAAGTTGAAAAATGAAAAATATATTGAAGAATTAATATTGCTAAAATTATAAAATTTGTGTGTTTATAAAATTATTTTGAAGTTTAAAAATAGTTATCTAAATTTTGTTATTCTATGAATTGATTGTGAGTATGATTATTATCCTTGGTAACTGGATTGATAACATTTATTATAATTATGTTCCATTTTGTTACTAACAAGTAAGTTACAACTGGATCTTTAAAACTAAAATACAATAATCAACTTATTTTTCAAGAGTTCATTTAATAACTAAATAACATTTTTCATCGCTTTTAGTGTTTATCATCGAGCTTACATACAGTAGAGCATCGATTATCCTACCCCCGATCAACCATCACATTGGTTAACCGACCGCGTTCTAGTCGGCAAATTCAAATGTCCATTAGTGATGTGGCACTACAATATTTGGCTATGTCTTGGCTACTTTAATATTACTTTTGTTAAATTTTGCATGTTTTAGCTGGCAACATGGCTCGACCATGAAAGGGAGCCAAGGCTTAATTTTCTAATTTTTAACGATACAATAGCGACGATTATTATTTTAAAAAAACTTTTGTAAGGCAACTTGTAAAACTTTTGTAACATCGATGAAAATTCAACGCGAAGTAGGTTAATAGAGATATACTAATATACTAATTACATGGGATATACTAATATGCTAATATACTATGCTAATAATGTATTTTTTCATACTTTTCGGTTATCCGTTTTTTCAGTTATCTGACCAACCTCAGTCCCCAATTGAGTCGGATAATCGATGCTCTACTGCAGCGGTTCCCAACCTTTTTTCATTAGCGTACCCCGTGACATGTCATTTCTCTATATTGTACCCCTCATTTAAGAAATTTAGTGAGTAATCGTATTGTTAATTTTACATGTTGTAACTTTTAATTTAAAAAAACTAATTTATAATGTTGATAAAGAGAATATATTTACGTTCATACATGTAAAAATAAACACATTTACAATACAAATATAAAAATTACAATAAAAATAAAATTGCACAAAAAACTAACTTCAAAGTATTTAATTTCGTATGAAAGGAGTTCAGTGTGAGCCTTGTCCTTGTTTTTTCTCGCATAATTTTTTTATGTCAGGTTCGACTGATGCGAGGTACAATCTCAAATCTGGAACTGCCTTCAGCTTATTGCGATACTTATTTTTAATATACAGATAGGAAGAAAAAGCTCTTTCCACAAGCACAGTACTTGTAAATGGCAACAAAAATTGAAGTGCTTTATCAGAAAGTAGCTCAAATTCTTTGTTAATGTCTGCCCAAAAGTTAAAAAGAGATTTTGATTTAAATTGGCATTTTAAAATCGAATCGGTTGAAATTTCGATCAAATTCTCTTTTTCCTTACTTGATAATTTAGCTACCTGAAAGTATTCCTCTTCAAATGGATTTAGAATCCAATAGTTTGTGTTGTCAGGTTTTGGAAAGTATTTCTGAAAATCCGATTTTAATCCTTGTAAATGTTCAACTATTTGTTGATTTAATTCTGGAGAAAGTCGTAATTTGTTTTCAGATAAGAAACTGTGCAATGTTTCAAATACTTCAGGTTGACTATTTTTAATACATAACTTCCAAAAATCAAATTTTTTAATTATAGATTCAATTTTGTCAGACACAGTAAATATCGTTGTTTTATCTTGGAATGCCAAATTTAACTTATTTATATGCAGAAAAATATCTGATAAATATGCGAGAGCCTGAAGCCATTTATCGTCATGAAATTTGGATGAGAGCTTGAAAGGATTGCTTTCAAAAAAAACTTGTACCTCATGCCTAAGCTCGAATAGTCTGGTAAGAACTTTACCACGAGATAACCATCTCACTTCTGTATGAAGGAGCAATGTAGAATGAAGATTCATCATGTCGTCACATAGAACTTTGAAAATTCTTGCGTTTGTGGGCCTCGATTTTATAAAATTAACCACTTGGACAGCTTCATCAAGAACAAGTTTCAATTTATGAGGAAGGCTTTTAGAAGCTAAATTTTGTCTATGGATGCAGCAATGGCTCCAATTTACGTTCGGGGCTACTTTCATTACACGACTGCGAAGACCAGAGTAAATACCTGACATAGACTTGGCACCATCGGTACATAATCCACAGCAGTTAGACCAATCAATTCCCTTTTCTTTGACATAAGAATCAATAGCATTAAAAATGTCCTCACCTCTTGTGCGTTCTGACAAAGGATGACAAAGTAATAGGTTTTCTTCAATTTCGTTATCGACCAAATATCTTGCTATAACAAGCAAAATAGCAAAATTGGCGACATCTGTGCTTTCATCAACTTGAATAGCAAAAAATTTACTATTTTTAATTCGGCTTATTGTTGTCATTTCAACATCATCAGACATCTCGTGAATTCTTCGAGATATTGTATTGTTCGAAAGAGGAATGTTGTTCATTTTAGGTACTTGGTCTTCTCCGAGCATACAGCGAACAGCATCTTTTATACAGGGAAGAATCAAATTCTCAGCTATGGTATGATTTTTGCCACATTTAGCAATACGGTAACTAATACGGTAACTAGCTTCAACGGCATTTTCGAGATTTTTGTCAGATGACTGGATGTACGGCTTCAAACTCGATTTACTCATATTTTGCTCCAAGCGTTTAAAAAAATTATGTTCCTTGTTTTTATAATTGGGATGCTTCATTCGTAAATGTCGTAGGAGTAAGGAAGGTTTCATGCAGCCATTAGATAAAACATCTCCACATACTACACATTGTGGTTGAGGGCAGTTTTCATTTCCTATATAAGTAAATCCATATTTAATATATTCATTGCAGTACTTTCTGTTTTTCTCTGTTTTCGAGACTTTTCCAGTGTTTACATCCGAAATGCTGTTGTCTTGAGAGGTATTTGCCAATTGAACCCTTTCCACATTATGTGTTAGCTCTTTTTTTGTTTCTTGTTTCAACCACTTATCCATATCTAATGATAAATCAAAAATGAAATTAACGTACCTAATTTCGAAATTTCTCTCCGTTGCGTGTCGCCCTGGGTTGAACTTTTGTGGATGGCTAACGACAATTTCCCGTTTTTGAAAAAAATAATCATGGCTATCGTATCATCCGAAAATATTTTCTTATTTTGCACAAACAATATATATATATATATATATATATTAATTAATGTAAAACGAAAACAAATTATATTTTGGAAGTTAGTTTTAATATAAAATTATAACTAGCGCCATTTGCTTTGAAAAACGTTCTGATGCTGAAACGAGATATCTAGGGAAAATCTGGAGAAACTAGCTATATGTCCTTTTCCTTGCTAACAATAAAAAATATTTTTGATAAACAAAAAACATACTTTTTGGAACAACGTGGGAATATTGTTGAGAGATAATAATAATAACGGTAACCACCCCATCATCAAAAGTCCGTAACATAATCACTAATCACGTATAATGGTATCCCCACTACCATTGACCGAATGCGCAACATTTATTGATCTGTTGCATTGTACAATCGGCAGAATAATTTTTTTTCTATTTTTGCATTTCGAAATATATAATAAAGTTGTGATTGTTGCAAGGAACATTTTTTACCTAATAATTTTTTAATACTATTAATTTGGGATACATAATATATTATTTTTTCCGCCATAATAACTAACTTTTTTCTGTACCCCTAAAGAACCTATCGTGTACCCCCAGGGGTACGCGTACCACAGGTTGGGAATCGCTGCTCTACTGTATTCTTATAAATTTAAACAATTCAAACAAATCTTCAAAAACATCATCAAATCATATTTTTGATTATTTTTGGCTATGGCTATTTCAAAAATAATTTCCTATTATAACTACTACTACAAAAATAAATTATGAATTTAAAATTCCTATATAAAAATAGAGATTGTCCATAACTTTAACATACCTTTTGAATCATTTTGATATAAAGTTGAAATTTTGCAAATATAACTTCTCTGTTCAAATGAAAAAGAAAAATTACAAAAGTTTTATTTAATTAGGGCTTATGTAAAGGGAGAAAAAATTATTACCTAGATAATAATGATAAAATTGCTGTGATGAAGAGTTGATGTTTTTAAATAACTTTTCATTTACTCACATTCTTATTAATCCATTCATAATTATCCTGAAGGCTAAAAAGCAGTTTGTAAATTTTAAATATTCTTGATTCATTTAACATTTCTATTTCTTCTTGTCCTAAGTTTTTTGAAAGTTACTTATAAATGGCATGTAGTTAAAAGAAGAATAGTGTATTCACAGATCCTGCATCTGTTAATCTATCATAATGCAGCAACAAAGTATAAGGTAAATAAAATAAAAAAAAAACAAAATATAATGTAATTCCAAAAAGAAAAATATTTATAAAAATAGGAAGTTAAATTTGAAGAATAACAAGATCATTGCATGACATTACTTACTATTAGATGCAAGAAATTTTAATGAATGTGTTAGAAAAAATTAAAATAAAGTGTAAAATCAATAAAGGATATCTGTTTGTTTCCTTTACTATAAAAAACATTTTTTATATAACAATGTAATTTTTGTGATATGAAAAAACAAAAATAAAATCATTGAATTATGTTATTTGGTTCCTTCAAATGAAACATAGACTCAGACATTTAATGTATGTGATTTATTGAACATGCAAGGATTTACAGACACAGTACACTCAAACTGAACAACTCATTCATTCAGAGGTATACTCTTCCACCTGTACAGTAGTGTCTTACTCTCCCTCAACATTGTCAGTGTTGCCACTACAGTCTACAATTCATTTGAAGGAACAAAATATATTTAAGTTATAAATATTCTTATTATTAATATATTTTTTTGTTTATAGCACTGCAATATAAAACTTTATATTATGTTTTTATGAAAATATAATATAATAAAATGTCCATTTATAATAATAATAATAATACATTATGAATGTTTTAAAAATTATTATTTTGATGAATCAAGAATTTTCATTTATTTCTTTTTTTACTTTCAAATACTTTTAATACATTATTATTGCTTGAAATGAAAGATTACATTAAATATTATGTTTCTAAAAACAATATTAATTTTATATAACATTTGGCATTGTTTAAAATCAATAAATGAGCCATTCACAGGCCAAATAGATTAATATAACTGTATATAAAATTAGTTATGCAAAAATTTTGAAAATAATAACAATTATATTAAGGATTTACAAATGAAGTTAAAGCTATGTTTTAATATAACTGTATATAAAAGTACATTCTGCAATGTTTATTTNAAAATTTTTAATTCAGATGCATTTCGGGTTGGCTTATATTCCCAACCCCTCTTCAGTGTTGTCATATAATGGTACAGCATAGATGTATTTTACAAAATTTTTTAAATTTAAAAAAGAACATATATTATTTTAATCATTTCTGTACTTTTGTTTTGTGGAGTTAATTGATTTGGCAAGTGAGTGGCTCAAATGATAATATAAATTTGTATTATCTGTTTTATAGGTACAGTACATGATAGATGATTCTAGAGCAGAAAATTCTAGATGGGACATAGCTAGTAAAGAAATGATCAAAAGTTATACTAAACCATGTCCTAAGTGCCGAACTCCTACAGAAAGAGATGGTAAAAGTATTTATAAATATATAAAATATGATATTTAAATTTATTTTCTGAAGTCCAGTAACATTTATATTTATAGTAATAGTGTTGAAACAATTAAAATTAATTGTTATTTAAATTGATGCAGTTTTATAGAGTAGGCACTTTGTCTTATGATCTTTCTATTTATTACTGTATGAAGTGGAATACATATTAGCAAGCTCTCTAAACCCGATTTATAGTTAATTCAAACCAAATAATCTGCCAAGTTGTCAGGCTACTATATGGCTAAGTAAATGATTACAAATTAATTAACCACTTACCTCTAGACAAATTAATTAGCTTCTAATCATTTACTTAGCCATATAATAGCCTGATAATTTGGCAAATCCTTTGGTTTGAATTAATGAAGTGAAATATTTAAATGCTATATTTTTGTTTTCCATCTGTGTGATATATACTTCAAACTGTTTTTCCAAGAATATGATTTTAATATATGATGATGAGCTTATAGGGAATGCACTGATTTGTTTAATAATTTTATAGAAACAAATCTGAGGTTGTAAAATTTGTGGCTTACTATGTATTTTATATTATTAAAAAATTAATATCTTTTTGATTTCAGATTTAGATAAACCATCAAAGTTGATATTTATAAGTTTCAAGCTGATCAATATCATTTTAATTTTATAAAATTTTACATTTTAAATATAATTAAATACTAAGTAATATAAATTATTCATTATCTATAATAATAGTATGAATTTCGATTGCATTATTAATATTATCAATTTTTGTTGCAAACAATTTCAAGTTATCATTTTTTACATTTTTAAATGTAAAAAATGATAACTTGAAACTGTTTGCAAAATTGTTTTTATATGAATAAAATGTTATCAAGGTTATTAGTTTAAAAACTAATATCCTTGATAACATTTTATTCATATAAAAACTTTATGAAATATATCAAGTATAATTTATTATTAATTACAGTAATTTAAAATGGTTAAGTAGGATGTTAATTATTAACTGAGAAATATGCACTGTACACCAATCAGTAGAGTAACTGTTTGAGTTTCATCTACCATCTGTATTCAAACATCATTTTTGTACTGTTTCTGGGAAGTTTCATAAACAAAAATGGTAACTCTGCAACAGAGAAGACATTTTGTGTTCTGCCATCCAGAAAGTCTGAATCAGTTATCATTGCCTTAACAGTAGATCACTTTGAAATTGTCTGCAAAACTTAAAAAATCATCAAAAATCATGTTGCACAATGATGACTGATTTCATCTTTACAAACTTCAGAACACAAAATGCTTTCTCTGTTATGGTATCTCCATTTTTGTTTACAGTGCTTACTAGAGGCAGCAGAAAAACAGATGTTTGTATGAATATAGCAAATGAAACTTGAATATTTACTCTATAAATACATTGTATGTACATGGCATACTTCTCAGCTAATAATTAACACAATTACAGTAATTTAAAATGATAGCATTCTTTTTGTAAGACGTTATAATTGATGAAAAATGTTTACTATTAAATTTAAATCAAAGCAAAAAATAATAATAATAAATATATATGATTTATTTTATGAAATATTTATGAATAAACATTTCCAAAATATATTCTCCACATGACATTTTAATATTATATAAAGGATATCATTTCTGAAATGCAGAAAGTAATAATTTGAAACATTAGTAACAAAAATTAATTAAATAAATAAATATTATTGTACAATTTAAAAATATAGTAGAAATACTAAGTCTTCTTCAGTTCAGTCATGTCCATTCACCAAGAATAAAACAGCCTTCCTTTGCAGAGACAGCCTTTTATTATAGGCTATGCCTCTGCAACATTATGTAAAGCAGTTACTTTAAAGTGTCAGGTGGTTTCTTCTATATCTTTAAATTGTGTAAAAATCCCATCTGTCATTTTTAACTGTAAGTGAAATTATGTATTTTTTTAATTATTAGCATGACATCAGTGAATGTTTTAACTGTTTGATACATTTATGTTAAACATATCCATTTTTATTAATTTATTAAACCTCTTGTTTACAAGTTATCAATCTATTGAGTATCATCCAAGACCATTGAGATGATTTTTTTAAAATTTCCATCAGTTTAATATATAGATACAGTATAAGCATTTCCAAATTTGAATTTTATCAAAATATTAATTAGAATGTGATTAAATGAGGTATTTTAATTATATTCTAATATGTAACAACATAGATGTATATAATATGTATGCAAACCAGTCTAATCTTGAAACAAATTTAGCTATTAATGGAATATTGATAAAAATAATTTTCTTTTTTTTTTTAGAGAATCTTCTATCTATAAAATACTTGTTAAGTTTAAGGAGTAAAAACATCCTGACTTTGAATTAAAGAGTTTTGAGTTAACAAGTATAACATGTTCTTTGCCAGTTGACTTGATTCTGTGTTACATTTCACATGACAAAATTATGTCATCTGGAAGTGAACATATTAATACCAGACTTTCTCAAATTTTTCCGTGGCCATAAGTTTTCCATTATTAAGCTATCTATTACGAATCTGTTCACAGAATTATTACGAAACTGTATACAGCTTATGGCACTTTTGAGTGCATTGTCAAGGCCTTATGTCCTAAATCAGAATGCTGATAACATACTGTATAAATAAAAGGATGTCAATGCAAGGTTGTAATGGTATCAATGCAAGGTTGTAATGTTGTGTTTGGCATGAGCCATAGTGCTTTTTTATCTTAATCATCTGTATTCACACAGAATGTGAGAAATAATGAAGATATGGACCTATCAAAGGATGGAGGGTAGACAAGAAAATAGGGATTGAAGTTAAAAGTACTGATAACACTAGTTTACAGCCATTTTGTGACTGTGGGGAAAAAGATTATTTTTGTTAATTCCTATGCACTGAACATGAAAATAAAGTTAAAATTTCCCTGACACATAAGGTTTTTGAGTTGTGATTTTACAGAATTTAAAAATACTTGATGCAGAGAGTTTAGGGTGGTTTTACTAAATATTGTTTTCTTTGTCTTTGAGCAACACAAAATCATTTTAAAGTAAAAGAATGGCCTCAGAGAGATAAATTTGTTCCAGGTCAAGCTAATGTAAAAAATAAATAACTAGTTGATCCCAGAAAAAGTGTTGCTACCCCCACTGCATATAAAACTTGGATTAATAAAAACTTTTGTGAAATTACTGGATAAAGAGTGAGCTGCTTTCAAATACCTTAAACAAATTTACTCCAAAACTAAGTGATGCTAAGCTTAAAAAAGGAATATTTGATGGACCTCAAATCAGAAAATTACTATATGATGCACAGATTGCTTAAAAATTGAATGATATTGAACTAAATGCATGGTTATCTTTTAAAGGAATTGTAACACAGTTTTTGGGCAACAGAAAAATGGAAAACTAAAAAACATTGTAGGAGAATTACTTGAAAATTGCAATAACATTGGTTGTAGAATGTTCCTTAAACTATATTTTTTAGATTCACATTTCAATTTTTCCTTGAAAATTTGGGTGCCATCAGTGATGAGCAAGGGAAGAGGTTCCTCAAAGATATCCTAATAATGGAACAATGGTATCAAGGCAGGTGAGATGATGAGAAACTATTACTGGTTCCTTTTGAAAGAAAGCGATATAGAATATAAATGAAAATCAGCATTTGCAAAAAAAGTTATCAACAGTAGATTTAGCATAAATGTAATTTCATATGTATTTTTGAAAATAAAACAGTTTTTCGGTTTAATATAAGTTGAATTTCTCTCTTATTTTTACTTATATTTACAATAAATAAAAATAAAAATTGTATTATAGAACTCAAAATATATGTGTGCTGAAAAATTGTGCCTGCCATATTCGTAAAAAAGGATGCTTTATAGACCCCTATACACCCACTATATTATCAGTTGCATAAATTTTTTTTTATTTGTTGAGTAGTGTAATTTGACTTAACAAGATTATATTATATGGAAAACCCTATATACTGTGCCCAGGACTTGTAGACGTCTTTGAGTTAACACAGTTTGACTTAGTGAGGTTTTACTGTATTTCAAGATGATAATTTTAAATAAAAGTTTCTTTGTTATAAAAGAAAAACAATCTTTTTGTATTAATTTTAAAGAATTGCTAATTCTTAATGATATGAAAATATCAATCATGTTGTCTGTCATATACAAGATCTCTTTGTTGCTGCCTTATAAATATTTTTAATCAGTTTCTTAGTTAAGATTTTAAAATTTGATATATCTTTTAAATTATAAAAGTTAATTTTTGTTGAAATATTATTCTAAAATTTGTCATTGTGTAATTTTTAAAAATATAAATTTTTTGTAAACATTTATCATAAATGATTAATCAGATTCCATAAACTATAATAAATAATTAAATATTTAAAAATATTTCCAATGATTTATTTTTATCTAATATGCTATTGTTCTATACAATTTGATACAAGAAATTGTTCATTCTTCTTACAAATAAATTAGAGACAACTCATAAGTAAATAGACAGACACCCATTTGAATGTCTTCCAATGCATGAGATAATGTTAACTTGAAGAATCCATTGTCATATTGGAGAAGAGACTTCTTTCAACATTCTCTGGTGGACAAATATGCATCCACATTGGAGCTCCTTGACACACTGCCAAAAAGAATTGGCAGTGTGTCAAGGAGCAAGGCTGGCAACATAAGGCATCTGCAAAATGCCTTATGTTGCCAGCTTCCATGGGCTAGTTAGTCATTTGACATGAATCCTATCAAATACATCTGGAATCTGCTGGATTGTGCAGTGCAATGACATTCACAAAAATGCACTTCCCATGGAGAACTTTTAGATTGTTTGTATGTAAGTAAGCCAAGATAGCAGGGCCCACCAGTGGCCAACTGGTTCTGTTCCTTCAACACTGGGAGTTCAGTCATGGGTTTGCATCTTGTCAGGACAGACTGGAGTTTTCCAGGTTTCCTCCACATCTGTAATGCCTGTATAGGGGCCAGTTATCCTTAAAAAGACCTCCTCCTAGGCAGATTGCCCAAATGTTGCATTGCCATAACTTAACAAACAAACAAACCAAGGTAGCAAAACTCATTGATTTTATTCCCAAGGTTTAATTAAGGCTTTGTTAAGGCTGGTTAAGACTTTGTGGTTTTAATATGCATATGTGACATTTGTATTATATGGATACTATGAAATAGAAGACAGTGTCTGAAAGTAAAGGCGTCTATTTACTTATGGATTGTCTTTGCATTTACATGCAATACAGTAAATTTACTACTTTAACTAAATAATTCTTTAACTTTTAATATACTGTAATACTTTAAAATTAGTCATTATACTTAAAAATCCTTCTTCACAAAATCTGTTTCCAAATTCAAACAGTTTGAAATGATTTTAATTTTTTTGGTCTTGTGTATATATTGTTTTTTTTTCTTTAGAAACATGATTTTTTTTCTGTTTAAAATTTGCTTATTGTGTTTAAGACTCATATTTTTGAAGAGATTACATAGGGTAACTCAAAATCATTTAAGAGAACAATTTATTCATTACAAAATCTAAATTCCTGTCTTTGTTATAAATTTTATTATTTTCCAACTTTACAAAAATTATTTAAAATAAAACTTTGCTTGTTTAGTGCACAAATTACAATACTTCAAGTACAATTTATGATTCATATTCACAAGCATTCCTGGAACAAAAATAAAACAAAACAGTTAACAATTTACTGTGTTTTCCATTTTGGCTTATTCTTATTAGAAAAACTTCATGTTAGTGAAGTTTAAAAATGTTTGTTTTTCACACAATTGGCGACCATCTCGGTGCACCAATTACATTAACAAAGTTCAGATACTTCAATATACTGATCTTGGTTCATTGAGAAGACATCTTATGACGAATTGACGAGTTGTTGCTAGAAGTAATTCTCCTTTGCGGTTGAAGAACAAACAGCAAGATGAATCCAGACTTGACTTGAACCTTGATGCACACTTGAAGATCTATGACATCTCTTGCTTTTGACGTGAAGTCCTAAGCCAAACTTAGACAAAACTGATGTATATCCTGACGTTCCCGTGTTGAAGTGTGTTTAAATCTCCTGTTTTGACATTAATCCTTTTATAGCCATTGATAAGCGGGTTGGATGACCAATCAGTGCTTACCGAGCTGTAACACTGTGCAAATAATGTGTGGCACGATTCCCTGCCGTTTAATCAATGGTTACCAGTTGTAGCACTATGCAAAATATGTAGTAGAGTGGTATGATCCTCGACCAACCAGTGCTCAGCTACTCTGTCCAAGGTCCGCTGGTGGTGTGATGATATGCCAATCAATCAGCAGCCACGCATTCAAAATCCCACGGTTGCTTCCTTAACCGTCTTTCCGCAACGGCAACTGTTACTAGTTTAAAAATAGAAAGGCATGTTCTTACACGATTCTACCCCAACAATGTTGTAGTTCAATAACTTGTGTTTAGTTGCCTTCTAAATATTTCTGAACCAATAACCAAATAATAAATCCTATTGTCACAATAATAACATTTTATAACTTATCATTCATTTTTGTCTTAGTGTAATCTTTGTGCATTATATGTTTCAAATAAACTCCCTTTACTTTATACAAGATATAAGAACAGATCTCGTATACCTAAATCTGTTTTATAATTAAAAAAATCGGCAAACTTGGCAATATTATGTAATAATGTAACAGTTTTTTCTATAAGATTATTAAAGATTTATTTAAAAAAGGTCTGAAACATGTTTAAAAACATATTTTATTCTTTTTATAAAGTTTGTTAAGGTTTATTAGAAGCTGAGGATGGCCTAAGTTAGGATAGGAACATTTCAGTTTTGTTTTAAATACAGTTGTGATAAACTTATAGTAGTACTCTTTTATTTCTATTTTTCTGTATAAATCTGTCCCCTTCTTCAAACTTATTTCATATCATTATATTAATTTTCCTTACATTAATTCTGAATTTATATTGTTTTATGATACTTTCTATCTCAGTTTTCTGACATGTATCATATTTTATAAATCAATTTTAAATATGGCATGAATAGGAATTATTTAATTAATTATACAGTACATATCATTTAATGTCCTTTAATATTGATTCATTTACTTATCTTTTTTTTAATTAATACCAGAAACTCCATAATTTATAAAATTAGAAGGGAATGTATCTCACAAATTATCAACTGTAAAATGTAGTGTTATGAATCTATTAAATCCCTTGTGGGTTATTTAATTTGGTGTTATATGTAACATTATATATCAATTTCTGTACATCATCCTCTTGGGATATGTATTATCTCTGATTAGCAACATCATGTGTATAAACTGTATATATATATATACAGTATATATCTTTCATATGAAAGAAATTATAGCTGAACAATTATATAATTATATAATCTGTGTGAACAATTGAATGATTGTTTTTTTTTAATTTAAACTAAGAAGAATTAAAGATTAATTGTATGGATAATTAATTAATATTAACTGTATCTTCCCTTGACTCATAATTGCGTTAGCAATGTTTATAGAAGAAACCTCAAGTTTCTTCTACAAACATTGCCGACACAATTACAAGTCAAATAATAACTTAAAAATAATAATAAATTCTGTGGTTTTCTAAAAGAAAATACATGTTAAATTTGCATATAAGAAGAACTATTCTTTATATATATTTGTGTATTAAGCTAAAAAGTATTCTTAACTAATATCTAAAACTATATCAAATTATATTATTATCTATTGTTTTCTACAGTCCAATAATTTGCATATCATAAATTGCATTTAATTTTCATAATATTTAAATAAAATTTTTTAAAATAATTAACTTTTAAAACACTATTTTTACTATATTTAATACACTTTCTTTTATACAGGAGGATGCATGCATATGGTATGTACCCGTCCACAATGTAACTATCATTGGTGTTGGTTATGCCAGACAGGATGGAGTCGCAATTGTATGGGAGATCATTGGTTTGGTTAAAACATAATCGAATGCTTTCATCTCTGTGATATTTACATTAAAAATTTATGCAGTTTACAATACAAAAATCTTTACCGGTTTTATTCATTTTGAAATACAAATAATAAGCAACAGAAATTGACTTTTTTCCATTCGATATTATCCGCTTATATATATAATATACTGGATATATAATAATATCCAAGACCTTTTTCTTAATAAAATAAATGAAAAAGTATACATAATATCAAAAGAAACATCAAATTAAAAATTTGTTACTCTGAAACATAGAAAGATTTATTTATTAATTAGCAAATTTGCAATAATGATGAAAATTAAGAAAAAAAAAGTCTATGCAAGATTGCAATATTTCAAGATTTTGTAAATAATAATAATAATAATATTACAAATGTGAAAATATCAAAAAGGAAAGTTTTCTTTTCATTTAAAAATAAATTTTTTTTTGAGTTTTTCACATTTTTATAAACTAATTTTGCGAAAGATATTTGTCAGTAAGAAATAAACTGAATTAATATGTAATTATTTATAAATAAATAAAAAATATTTTAATCTTAAATAACTGTTTTATGTTATTTTTTAATTTTATATCACATTTTAATTCTAAGAAGTGAACTGTTCAGGAGAAGAAACATAGTCTCAAAAACATCAAATAGCTTGACAGTTTTGGCAGTATTACACACATTTTATTTGATTAAAATTTTTTTTAAGATTTTATATGTTTGAAAGTTCCTGGATTATATACAGAAGCTTAATTATCATTAAACTGTCCAAAAATTCTTTTAAAGGATGTCTTTACTCTTCAAACTTTTTATTATTATTAATTATTGAAAGACACAAATTCTACATTCACAAAATTTATAAAACCTTAAAAAAAACTATAAAAATATTAATTTTGCTATAACAAAGCTATAAACATTATTGGAGCCATCAAATTTGTTTAATGCGTAATAAAAAAATAAATAATTAAAACATTAATTCAAGTTAATGCATATTTTTTTTTTACTCCATAAACTTCAAATTTTACTCAAATTACATTTATTTATTCCTAAAATTGATGAACTTTTATTACTTTAATGTATGAGTTTAACTGTTGAGTTGACAGATATAATACAGGCTTTAGCATAATGCCATTTTATGAAGGTAAACAGAATGAGAGACATTGAAATCTATACAAAATTTGTAATATGATATACAACACAAATACTTATCTATATATATATATATATATATAAATGGACGAGTCTTATAATTTAATAATAAAATAGAATTGGCTGACAAAAACAAATTTCTTCTTTTTACCAACAGATGGCTGCATTGTGTCAAAGTCAGAGAATAATGTATTTTGTTATCTTGATTCTATAACATGTCTCCCAGGATAAAATTAATTTTGTCAAAGAGGAAAAATATTGCTCTGCACACAAGGAATTTAGAATTACATTTTTAGATAATGTAATGAATTGGAAATTTTAAATATTTTCTACAAATTCAAAAATTTGACAGGGTGAAAGAGTTTATATTATTCCTCAAAATATTTAAATTCACTTTCTTTGATGTAACCTTGAACATTTCTATTTGTATTTTTGGAAGATTTTACATTTTAAAAAAATATATGGAATGGTTCAAATCCAATTTTTGAAAAAGTTTGTATACTTAAAAAAACACTTTAAAATTGGAAGTCTTTGGAAGTGTTTATATTCACTCTCAACTTCTAATTTCGAATTCTTTGGAAAGTTAGATTAAAAAAAAAAATAAGGATCTGATTTTTTGAAAGAGTTACAATATATATAGAATCTTTAAACCTTTAAAAGGACTTATAATAAAAGAATTATTGTAAATTCAAATATTTAAGAAGAGTTTATATACAAGAAACCTCAAAATCACTTTTTGGAAAATTTTACAATCAGTATACAACTTAAATTCAAATTTTCCAAGCTCCTACCTCTTCAAAAAATTTAAATTGTAAGCTATTTCACAAAATTAATTTAAAAAAAAATATATGTAATAAAAACAATATCAATATCTAAAAAAAATTCAATTTTACATAGGAATATACAAACTTTTCAAGTTATATATAACATAAAAGAGATATTAAGATTGCATATAATATTGAAGTTGTAGCAGTAGATAGCTCAATGTTTAAATACGGAAAAAAATAAAACAAAATAAAAGATTTTACGTCGATATTAAATAAAAAATTTAATATAACTACATTCTTTAGATCGATTGTATTAAAACATAGAAGAGAACACACACACACACCTACAAACACGCATCCTCTACCTCTCTCTCTCTCCCTTCTCTTTCTACTAATAAAAAAATAAAATAAAATAAATATTCCTCTTGTTTTATTTATTAAAATTAGATTTTATATTTTAAATATTTAATATTTTTTCTTTTATGATTATTGATTCATTCATAATTTAGTATAGAAGCATTTATATGATTATTATAAATTTTTTAACACCAGATTTTAAGTAAGTTTTCTTGTTATTATAAATACATTTAATAATATTTTTTTTATTTATTTATAAGAAGCTTTTGACATTATAATTAATTACTGATTCTTTTCTCTGTTTAATTATCAGATAAGATAAATACTGTAGTGAGCTAATCAAGCACACACGCGTAATTGTATACCGCAATAATCATTATCTTAAATGTAAAAGGTACAAAATAGGAACTGATGTTCTGATAATGGATCTTCTTCCTTTTTTTTTTTTTTTACTGTGAATGTGGTTGATAAGGAAAGTCGGGATTACTGTGGGAATTGTTTCCTTAAGGATACCAATTGACTTCCTTCTTGTGGATAACAAACTATTCTTAAGTAGAATTTACTTTTGCTAATAGTTTCTTTCTTTGCTGGATTTTTTATAAAATAACATAAGAAAAATCAAGTAATGAATGAGATTATAGATAATGAATGGAAAAGTTTAGAAATTTTTTTATTTTAAAGAAGTTACTTGGACAGAAATGTTGAAGTTTCCTAAGTTAAAATGTGTTTATAAAGTGAAATAATATAAAAAATAAACTATTATTTAAAAAAATACAAAATAAAAAACTGTTTTGATAAGTTTTTTGCTAGTTTTTTTACTTAAAATTGGACAATAAACATGGTTATTGATAATGGGTGAGTTGAAGAATCTAAGGATTTAAGTCTTATTTTTGAAGAGATTTTTTTCTTTTCTTTCTTTTTATCAACTGATTTAAAGAAAAGCGTTAAAATTTTATAAATCTTATAGTAATACATTATTCTGACGCTTATTTTTCTTTCTAAAATATTCAAAATATTGGCTAATAAATATGAGAATGGGAACAAATGAAGAAGGTTTGAAAAGAGGGAGACAAATTCTGTTTTTTAAATAAGTGATATAAATTATTTCCATAATTTATTTAAGAGTTATAAACCATTTATTACATTAAAAAGATTATTTTGATAATATT